CATCTACACAGGTTTATACATGTTAACAGTCACAGCTTCTAAATGTGTGGAACACTGGAATGGATAACTAGTTCGAACTGTTTAAATGTTTCCAGTAACTCAAAGCGTCAAAACCAGCTAGAAATCTCTGAACAAAGCAGAGTCGATTGTTCAGTTACGGCTATATAATGAGCATGCGTTTGCCACTCTCCCTGAGTGCAATGGTGATACCAGGTGACCTTCCTGATATGTTCCTACGGGGAATTTTAATCTTGTAAAGCCACAAAAACATTTCAGTGAGACAGCAGCCTTCTGTCAGCTGCATGTAACGCCTCGCCCGTTGTTATTCATGTATTGACCTAGATTAAAAAATTGAGTTCCTACTTTCTGTTTCATTTTTCCAAGTATAGCAGTTCATTTACAGTTCACTGGAGAACAGTGTTCTATAGGAACACAGTATGTATCTCATTATTGTCAGATGTCAAGTGGATAGCAAATGGCGTCCATTATATGATGAGATCACCTTTGAATACTACGTTGTAAACAAACATGAAACGTTTCAGCTGAAGAGGAACATACTTCTTTAAGAACGTGACTTCTACTCGTACAGCCGACACTATGATAAATTCACTTATCATTAAGAAAAGCATGTCCGGTGGATCCGTCATGTAATTACACATATGGCACGATTCAAAATCTGAAGACTAATCGATTAATTTGAATGTCAATAAGATAAATAAAGATAAATCGTACAAGTTATACAAGAATTGTGCTTACCAAATCTAGGATATTCCTTCAGGAGTCGAAATTCGAAATGTGGATTTCGTTGGACAACCATGACAGCCGTCCACCCTAGTCCACCGAAAGCGAAATATGCATGTCGGTGCACATGCGCAGTTCTTTGTTCAATTTTTTCTAACATAAGATAGGACTAGTATCTAAGGTCCTGAGAGAAAACAGATTCAGACCTGATCCTCTTATCAGTAGAAAATCCCGGACAATATAACAGGAAGGCGAACTTCAACACTATCCTAAATAAGCCTCCATGCACAGTCGGACAGAAAGCCAGGTGTTTTGTAAAGGATGAGTCCATAACGGCTTACCATAGGCGCCACATTTTTTAGCCAGGCTGGCAACACCAGAAACGGGAAATGACTCAATTGCTTTGTCATGTTTACAGACGAATCAAAGCTTTGCCTCCAATCAACAAATGGCAGACAACGTTGTTTGCAACGGACCCTTATGCCAGTGTCATTGTGCCACCGTGTGGGGCTGTATTGCACATGACAGGCGAACTGACTTCGTCATCGTGATTTGACTGTCCAGCGATGTGTTCACGAGATTTTGTCTTCCATTTCATAGGATCATCGTTATAAACATGACAAGGGCACACACAGCATGACAAGGGCACACACAACATGACAAGGGCACACATGCATGTCTAAGTACCAACTCTAGCACAGTGAAACTGCGAATGGCTCAGTAGATCAGTTATGGTTCCTTAGATGATACAATCCTACTTGGATAACTGTGGCAATTCTAGAGCTAATACATGCACAAAAGCTCCGACATGACAAGGGCACACACAACATGGCAAAAAGGGCACACACATCATGACAAGGGACACACAATATGGCAACAATGGCACACACAACATGGCAAGGGCACACACAACATGGCAAGAACACACACAACATGGCAACAAGGGCACACACAACATGACAAAGGCACACATAACATGACAAGGGCACACATAACATGACGAGGGCACACACAACATGGCAAGGGCACACACAACATGGCAACAAGGGCTCACACAACATGACAAGGGCACACACAACATGACTAGGGCACACACAACATGAAAAGAACACACACAACATGGCAACAAGGACACACAACATGTCAAAGGCAAACACAACATGACAAGGGCACACAACATGGTAAAGGCACACACAACATGGCAAAGGCACACACAACATGGCAACAAGGGCACACAACATGGCAAAGGCACACACAACATGACAAGGGAACACACAACATGACTAGGGCACACACAACATGACTAGGACACACACAACATGGCAAGAGCACACACAACATGGCAACAAGGGCACACAACATGGTAAAGGCACACACAACATGACAAGGGCACACAACATGGCAAAGGCACACACAACATGGCAAGGGCACACACAACATGACTAGGGCACACACAACATGACAAGAACACACACAACATGGCAAAGGCACACACAACATGACAAGGGTACACAACATGGCAAAGGCACACATAACATGGCAACAAGGGCACACAGAACATGGCAAAGGCACACACAACATGACAAGGGCACACAGAACATGGTAAGGACATACACAACATGACAACAAGGGCACACACAACATGGCAACAATGGCACACACAACATGGCAAGGACACACACAACATGGCAAGGGCACACACAACATGACAAGGGCACACACAACATGGCAACAAGGGCACACACAACATGGCAAGGGCACACACAACATGACAAGGGCACACACAACATGACAAGGGCACACACAACATGGCAACAAGGGCACACACAACATGGCAAGGGCACACACAACATGACAAGGGCACACACAACATGGCAACAAGGGCACACACAACATAACAAGGCAGAACCCATCGTGGTCAGGTCATTGTGACTATCATCCAAGTGGTGGCCTACGCCTCCTAATATGGGAGAATGAGTGAGTGATTTTGGTTTAACACGGCTTCAAACAGTATAATAATAATGATGCAGTTCTGTATGCCGCCAGATTCCATACACTCGTGTATGCGGCTTGTAAATTAACCACATAAATATGTGATCAGTGGAAGGGAAAATCAAGTACATTTTGAATTCGACTACTGTTATGAAGAGATATTTCACTGTTTAAAGCGAAAAAAAACCTGATTTGGAAGTCGAATTTTCACAACACAGTCTTAATGTTTCCGACCCAACTTTTGCAGTGTACAAAGCACAGATAAACACTTCTGAATGTTTCATGAAGCTCGGAGACCTCAGTCCAGCGGAGTGAGTGAGTGAGTTTAGTTTTACACCGTTTTAACAATATTCCAGCAATATCACGGCGGGGGACACCAGAAATGGGCTTCACATATTGTACCCATGTGGGGAATCGAACCCGGGTGTTCGGCGTGACGAGCGAACGCTTTAACCATTAGGCTACCCCACCGCCCCAAGTCCAGCAGATACAGTTCAAATATACAATCACAATATCGACTACCAAGGCCTGACTCTCCACAGAAACAAACGGCAAAATATTTTTAAAAATATTTGAACAGATCACCTAAAGTCAGTAATGACCAAGTTGTTTTAAAAGAAGTCTTATGTTATACTGCGTACACAGACAGAATAACATCCGAGCAGATATATTCCCTACAACAGCATTGGGACCGGTCTTCGAGACGTTTCAGTGTAAAAACTTCCAATACTGTAACTTCTTCTTCTAAAACATGAATTGAAACTGTTGAAACATTCATGGTCAATAAAATCAGAGAAGGGGAAAGTCTCACCATCATTTTCAATAGTCGTGCTTTCCAAGGGAGGTAACTGGTTGCTTTAATAATTTAACTAATGACATCTTTGGGATTTTTAGTAGTTTTAGTAGGGTTTTTTTTCTCTTGCAAGATCTACTTATTTGACAAACGTTATTTTCATAAGTTCACACGACTTATTCCTATGGAAAGTAGTTTTGGCTTGAAGATACTACCCTCTTGTCAAAATTTACCTGTGGGGCCACTTCATCTGAGGGGTTTACATTAGAGTCACTCTCTCTCACTCACTCACTCACATGAACAGATAGTGTTTTAACTATGTGAGTAAAGTCACACGTATTCCATGTCAGTGTCCAAATATTGCAATATCAAAATCAGAATCATATAAACATGTCTGAGATTATTCATAGGAACACACATTGTTATAATAGGTGACCCTGCATTGGTCATACTGACACTACCAAGTAGTGAATCACTTTCAGATAACAGTATGCCAGGTGACCCCTTGTTACAAATGCTACAGTAACTAAACAACATGCAGTACCAATTTTCTTTGATCTTGCATAGCATTTTAAAGGATGTACATGATTTTGGTTTGGGAGGTCATTTACCTCATTTATCTCAGACAGGCAAATCCAAGTCGGAATGGGTTCGAACTTGTCTGAACATTACAATCAGGATCAGGGTGTTCGACAAGGCAGTAGTTTTTCTATCACGATATTTTGTACTAAAATAAAAAAGCCTATGAAAGGTTTTAACTGATTCGGTAGATGGACCCCTATTCGTGGGTGGTTTTTTGTTTTGTGTCTTGAGGTTCAGATATACGTACCATAGAGAGACAGTTACAAACCTGCCCCAACAGAATTGATATATGGTGCCTCTAAAAATCAATGCCATACATATCTTCAGAAATTATTAATCACACAAAGACTCTGAACTATTTCGTAATGGCAGCACTAACCAAAGTGTAAAGGAAGCCAAGTGTTTGGGCAGTATTGTGATAACCATTCAACGTAAAGCTAAATGCATGAACTCAAGATGGGTCAATTAGTTTCAGAATTGTGCTCCGGAAACGAACTTTACCCTTCCAAAAGACAGTCCAAATTTTTGCCATGAAAACAGAAAAAAAAAAATTGAAAAAACATCAAACCCCCCAAATGCACATCTACATGATATGGAGATACATTATAACAAATGTGGTGAAGATTGTACAAGTAGTTTTAGAGTTATGTTCCGGAAACAATGGGAAAGCCGACGCCGAAATTCAACCAAAAACAATGTCTCCGTTCGGTGGGAAACATAATTCAAAGTAGGAAGGTGATCACACAACCATCTTGCATTTATGCGGGTCATTTGTCAGGTCGGCTTCATCGTGTATTGTTGAGCATGGAAAAGTAATTTACAAAAGCTAGATTCTATCCATCATCAAGGCCTGGGGCTTTGCCTTGTAGCTTCTAGAACATAAGGCAAACAGACAGACAGAAGTTTATTCAGTAAGGCTACAGGCCCATAATAATACAATATATCTGTTGACAAAAAAAACATTTCATTCCTTGTAATAAAGGAACCTTTTCAAAAGGAATTTATAATAATAATAAGTGTGAATTAATAATGCGCTACATAATCTGATTATTATTACCCCGAATAACCCAAGCTGCCTGTGAGGCGATAGAAGGTTAATAGCCACATGACCTATCCCACCGGGTACCCATTTTCTGCTGGGTGAACAGAGGCAATTTTGAACAAACGCACTTGCCTAAGGTGAGACCACATGTATCACATGTGTTTCGTTGTGGGACAGGACTGAAGTCCTTCAAACTCTCAGGAGTTAAGCTGCCAAACACGGCCACCCATGAAGTACACTCGGCACTCAACGTTGCTCAACTTCAACTGATTTATGACCTGAGCTCTACGCACAGGACCACACACCACCACCACAACATATATATTTTTCTATTATCATAAAAAGTTACTTGTAATTTATATTTCGTATGTCTTATACACAAATACCGTGCAAGGCGAACCACACATCAATATGTTTGATAGACATTATCTGAAATGAAATTATCTGGTGTACGACTGAGTACAACAGTCAATAGCGGTAATAGTTTCTGCGCATTGTATTCGTAAGTTATCGAGTTCTTGGTTAAGCCTGCTAAAAATAACTCGTAAGGCATATTCTGACTCGCATGACCTCTCGACAGATGGGACGATAACAAACAATTGATCTTTATATAACTTCGCCGCATATTCATAAAATAGCAACGACCCGCAAGGTACATCGTCGTCATTGACTGTGACCTTGGTAGTGGGAGATTGTAATAAAATGGATTTTTTTATCAATTCCCCTTCTTCAATATCGTCTGAAATTATGCGAACAGACTTTAATGCCTTTACTTTACAATTAACTCTGTTTGTCAAATTGGAAATTTTAACATTTGTGCGATGAGCACGAAAATTCATTTTACAGTTTGTATTTATCTGTGGATCATTTTCATTAAAACATGGCGATATACGCCGACCCAAATTGTGGTCAAAATTGTAAATGAATATTGGAAATGGCCACAAGAGCGGCGGTATACTGCAAGTATTTTGTGTTGAATCTGTTAAAGTTAGGATATTGTTCCGACCAGATGAATTAAACAATTCCGACACAATTAAGTTTAATGCATATTTTAAAATGTTTGACGTCTCCCCTCTTGTCGGTATAAATATAAAATATTCTGATGTCGAAATACACTTTTCAATATTTTCAATTTCTGTTTTACCAGCATCAAATGAATGATAGATGTCTACCACAGTGATGCCTAAAACAGTTTCAAGATATTCACGAACCCTAACTATATTTTTATTGGTGTCATTTTCTTCAAATACTAGACACACTTGCTTCATGTTAGACAGTGTTTCGATATAAACAGACTTATATTCTTCCCCCGCCACTGGGTTGGTGTTAAAGAACCTCTCTGTGACCTTTGTAGACAACCAAGGATCGAAACAAAACCAAGGAAATGATATTTGACTATATGAAGGCATACATTCTAATCCACTAACAGGCAATGATCCTGTTAAAGTCTGCATCATTAACATCTTATATTCAGCTTCAGTCATTATCTTTCCATCTTTACAATATGAACATGAAATTCGCAAACCAACATCATACGCCCTAAAATGTATACGCAAGTTCATAACATATAACTCCAATACGTTCTTTATCTGTCCCATTAAGACACCAAGTGTCTCTCTTGATACAATTAATACATCGTGTTGTTTTTGTCGGTAATGTCTTATTCCACTTTGCATTACACCAAGTGTCTCAGCTTCTGATACTATTTCTTCATAATGTTGTTTTCGTCGGTAGTTTCGTGTTCCACTTTGCAGTACACCAAGTGTCTCAGCTTCTGATACTATTTCTTCATAATGTTGTTTTCGTCGGTAGTTTCGTGTTCCACTTTGCAGAACACCAAGTGTCTCAGCTTCTGATACAATTTCTTCATAATGTTGATTTTGTCGGTAGTTTCTTATTCCACTTTGCAGTACACCAAGTGTCCCAGCTTCTGATACAATCTCTTCATAATGTCGGTGTTTTTCTGGTTCACTCTCTTGTACATTAAACCCTGGGTCGCTCTTGCAATTTTTTCCACACCTCCTCTCATAGGGTGGCGTTTCTTCAATCATCTGCTGATTATCTGGTTTATTGCTTAAGGTTGAATGCACCTTTCTTTCTGGCTCCTTCTGGCCTAAACAAAGACAAAGTAGCAGTGCATCAGGGATACATCTTCACAGGTTTATAATGTAAACAGTCACAGCTTCTAAATGTGTGGAACGTACAGGGAATGGACAACTAGTTCGAACTGTTTAAATGTTTCCAGTAACCCAAATCATCAAAACCAGCTAGAAATCTCTGAACAAAGCAGAATCGAGTGTACAATTTCGACTATATAATGAGCATGTGTTTATGAACCACCCTGCGTACAATGGTGATACCAAGTGAGCTTCCTACCTGGTATCACCTTTAAAGTTGTAAAGTGACGCTAGCATTTCAGTAAGATAACCACAACCCTCTGTCAACTGCATGCAACGTCTCGCCCGTTGTTGTTCATGCATTGACCTAGATTATTAAATTGATTTCCTACTTTCTGTTTCCCTTTAACAACAGTTCATTTACAGTTCACTGGAATACATACATAGAGAACAGTGTTCTATAGAAACCAAATATATATCTTTCAGATCTTGGTACCATAAATATACTTTATAATTGTTTTAGTGAACCTCTAATCTTTTGTTAGATGCCAAGTTGATTGCAAATGGCGTCCAATATCACTGATGTGGTCACCATGGAATATTACGTTGTAAACAAACATGAAACGTTTCACTTGAGGAGGAACATTATTCTTTATGATCGTGACTTCTACTTGTACAGCCGACACTATAATAAATTCACTTATTAAGAAGAAAAAACTATCCGGTTGATCCGTCATTGCATACACATAATTACACATGAATATAGCAAGATTCAAAATCGGAACACTAATCGATTAATTTTAATGTCACAAAGATATATAAAGATAAATGGCACGACAAGTTATAAAAGAATTGTCCTTACCAGATCTAGAATATTCCTTCAGGAGTCGAAATTCGAAATGTGGATTTAGTTGGACAACCATGACAGCCATCCACCCCAAGTCCACCGTAACTAAATACGCATGTCGGTGCACATGCGCAGTTCTTATTGGCATATATTACGATAAATTTATTTATTTTCTAGCATAAGATAGGACTAGTATCTAAGGTCCTTAGAGAAAAGCGCTTTTATGTTCGGGTGTTTAATTACTAAAACAGAAGTATATTTATTACAATAGATCATCTATAACAACAGGTGTAGCCAGTTTGTGTCGACCTCTTTGGTAGAGCGTCGCGCGATCAGAGGCGGGTATTAGACCATGAGTGACGTCACATTATATATTTATATATATTACGCTGGTGTATGAATACAACTAAGTAGATACAAAGTAAACTTTATACTCACATAAACTCAGATAGGTATTGTGCGTGTTGGCTCATGCAATATTTCAGTTGCTGAGCAGTGAGACAGCATAATGAAGGAGTAATTCAAATAGTAAATGCTTTCACATTATATACAAAATGTAAGTCCATTAGAAACCTGACTTTTGCAGTTAATGTCACTTCCGGATAACAAAACATATGCTCCTATTGTACATGTATCGTTTTTATATTATGCTTTGCTGTAAATATTGGTCTGCTTCTTATCCAAACCTGCCATGTAAAAATACCTTTCATCACTACGTTAAACAATATCACGACACAAGAGTTGAGCTTCACGCATTGTTCCCATATGAGCAACCCCACACCAGGGTGGGCAAACTCTGTAAACACAAGATTACCGTAGCGCCCTCCCAGACATAACCATCATTGTTACAAACTCTAACCCACTGTGTCGAGTATTTCTATATTAGAAAAGATGTTACAGTGTATAATGTATTTTGATAAATTGACCAGTAGTGTAGCGTTTTGTCTCCATGCCATAACACTGAAATCAATTTGGTTTGCCTTTGGATAATGTTATAAGTCATGAAAATTAATGTTTAAAGGTCACATGCAACCAAAACATCAAACATAATTAAAACACAATTATCACTTATTCATGACATATAATATACGTTGCTGGTTATGAAAAAACATATAAACAATATTATAAGCGTACAATCGCAAATCAAAAGTGCAATATTTTGTACTTGGGTTAACTTCCCAAGAAACGAAGCAGCCGGGATACCGAACCCAGTCAGAGCGGGTGGGTGTGCATTCAAGTGTAACGGCTGGTTCATTTGCAGATGCCGCCCCCACGGCTCATTGTGTGTGTATATATAGAGATGTTGGGTTTTGTAAATACATGCTTATTTTTTGTGTATAACATTTTGCAATCAACAGACATCATAACATGTCATGTGTTCAAGTATCACACCTGCCTGCCTGTGTAATTACATAATGTGACAGAGACGAACTCGGGCCATAAATCAATGCGTTTTGTTTATGGTGTATAGCCTGATAGGTGTTAAGTTCAAATTGCATGTGGTCAGTGATTGAAATTGTGTATTGAATATTGTCATTAGCAGACGGGCAGGCAGACACATAGGTGCCAATAAAACAGACATTGAGTTTTGTCTGTGACAACGACATATCTATATCACAGTTAGAAATTCTGTCGACGCTAAATAATGACATTGCTTTTAAGTATCGAACTGAGAAAGTGATTCGGAAAGAAGAACGTGTGGTGAAATGATATTCACAGTTAATTTACTGTCATAACATATAAAAAGCTCGCGCCTGTGAGATATCAGCAAAACATTAGCAAAATAGCTCACACCAAAGCCTTCACCGAGTATTCACCGGACAACCCGCTTCCAAGCTCCGCGAACCTATTTCACTGCGCATGTGCTATGAGCGCAGCCCAGCTGTTGAAACCACTTGAATACCCCCAAACTTTGGGGGGGAAATTAGTGAATCGTTTGAACTACGATTTCGCGCGTTTTTTTTTTCATCGCGTTATTTTTCAACTTTATAAGTTGAATTTGCATTTTTGATGATTTGTTTCGGTAAGTCCATACCGAAAGGTATCAGAATCTGCAAAGTTGTGTTTTACGTTGCATGTGACCTTTAAGAAAAAAAAATGGATAATATCACAGTACCAAGACATAATATCTGTAATGTCGTTAAAAATGCGGGAACATAATCATCATAATCTTGCAATCATTTAGGTGTAACCTACAATACTGCGTGTTCCATCTAAGTGCAGCATAATCACAATAACGTTTCACAGTACACATCAACAACGCGTAATGGAACTGCACAGAGAAGAGTGACAAGAGAACAATCTACATCAATCATAAATATATTTCAACAGTCGTCGGACGACAGTATTACAACTAGGTCATCACAAAGTTTTTAAAACTATTTTGAGTGTACTTGTGCAACTGAGTTTAGCATACTCTTGATAACACCTCCCCGAGAGACAGAATTCCGGGTGCAATAGATAGAGGACGTCAATGTATGTATGTATCAGCGGGCCTGTATGTTGGGCAAATCAAAAAGTGTAATTTACGGACAGGCTCGTTCAAATGCCCTCTCACTACATTAATAGCACTACACAAGAGAAAACAGATTCAGGCCTGATCCTCTTATCAGTAGATAATTCCGAACAATATAACAGGATGGCGAACTTCAACAGGATACTAAAAATGAATACTGAATACGTCTCTCTGTGCATTCGGCCTTAAGCCAGACGTTCTGTAAAGGATGTGGCCCTAACGGCTTACCATAGGCCGCAAATTTTGGGGCGGGCTTGGCAACACCAGGAACGAGCTATGTTTCAATTGCTTTACATCATTTTTACAGACAAATCAAAGGTTTGCCTCCACTTGACAAATGGTGAAAAACGTTGTTTGCAACGGAGCCTTATGCCAATGTCATTGTGCCACCGTGTGGGACGGTATCACACATGACAGGCGAACAGGTTTTGTCATCGTGGTTGGACATTTGACTGGCCAGCGATGTGTTGACGAGATTTTGTCTTCCATTCCATAGAATCATAGTTTGAAAATTCAAACTACAACATGACAAGGGCAGACCCCATTGTGACCAGGTCATTACGATTGTCATCGTAAACTTAAACGGGCGAGAATGAGTGAGTGATTTTGGCTTAACACTACTTCAAACAGTATTCCAGTTATTTCATGAGTGAGTATGGTTTTGCGCCGCTTTTAGCAATATTCCAGCAATATCGCTGCGGGTTACAACAGAAATGGGCTTCACACCTTGTACCCATGTGGAGAATCGAATCCGGGTCTTCGGCGTGACGAGCGAACGCTTTAACCACCTGGCTACCCCACCGCCCAGTTATATCATGGCGTGTCTGCTTAACGCCATGATTTGAAACATTACCCGTAGTACTTCATTATTTGAAGATGCCTATAAGAAACGTATTTATTCAAGATGTCGGGTATAAATGTTTCATATCTATATTTAATGACAGGGTATCAGGAATTAAATTACGGATATCATTAGAAAAACGCGACTCAACATTTTAAAATTCGTTTACTATATCATTAACCCAATTTAAGAAATAGACAAATATTTTCAAGATATCATATGTTTGAATATAATTGTCCAATCTAAGAAAAAGTTATCATTCCACTTGTTCGCAACAATTTCTACTGTGATCCTCTGAATGCCTGGTGCGACTTACCATCAAGACATGGGGCTGCAGATTCACAAAATATCACCTCTCAATTTATCTGGTATAATCAAAACATCTTAATCGATAGGAAAACTATATTCCATGGATGTTAAAACAAACTTTCTAAAATATTCAGGAGTCATTAACTCAATTAGAGCATTCCTCAAAAGAAGTAATGTCAACTTAGCAACCATATATGTTAAACTTTTTGACTAGACAAAAACACAGAAGTCAAATATTTTACAGGGCTTTACTTGAAACAAAATCAATCAAAAATCAGCATTGTGTAAAATGGAATAGGATACCAGAGAATGAAATCGATACAAACTATTGACAACAATATAACCATATCCCGTTCCGCTGTCCCAAAGACGCCAATCTGCAATGGTTTCAATACAAACTCTATCTTTTGCCAACAAATAATAGACTTTTTAAGATGCAATCGATCATGACTTGTGCAGCTATTATTCTGGTTCTTTAGAGACTATAACACACCTATTTTATGATTGTAGCAAGGTTACTCCTATTTGGCAAAATCTTGAAAACTGGCTTCACAGTAATCTGGATGTAAATTCACGAAATAACAAAGTTTGCTCGGATTCGGCCATAAAAATAATGATCCAATCAACGTGATTTTTATCCTCTTCAAAAATATCATCTTAGCTATAAAATATCCAAACAGATGCCAGCCTTTCTGTTTTTACAACAGGAGTTTAAAAACATATTACGAACTGACAAAATATTCTGCTATGGTACGTTCAAGAATAAATCATTTATTTAAATTCTGGTCGATCTGCCACATTCCGCTTTCAGAATAATGTTTTAACTTCTGCATAATGTATTCTGTTAAATGTTTTCTAACTGAAATCTACAATATGTATTTAAACATGACTGGGGTCCATGTACCAATGTGAAAATAGAAAAAATAATAATTTGCTTAACCATATCCTAAAATCGTTTGTGATATCACGAATTTTATTGCAGATATCTGAAATCATCTGTATTTGAGATATCATTTCAAGACATATTCAAGTCACCTCAAGGGTAAGCTCTATTTTATTTCAACAATTGATGTAAATAATCCTCAGCATAATTATGTCTGTAATTTCACTTTTGATATGAAATCATGAATAGAATTAAAGGCGCCTGAAATACTTTAATATGTGATGAATTTGTGGATAAAACCTTTCGAGATTCTTGATTTAATTTCTAACATGAATATTTACAGTGTGTTGGAAACTGAGCATTGATAACGTCACACTTTCAGACATCACAGAAGTGTACAGTTTAGTGTCATATAAATTGTACTTTGAACATTAGAAATTTATCAGACAGACAGACAGTTTTATTTCAGTATACAAGGCCATGGCCCACATTACAGAATAAATTTTACATTTTGTTTGATGCTGGTAAAACCAGTAATGGTCATACATTATTGCCTTTGAAAGCTATGGAACCATTTTTGCACAATGTACAGGCATAATATACCATTCTAAAGAAAAAAGTAGCAATACTTATCAAAACATCATCCTTAGATGACACAAGTCTAACAAAACTATCCTTACACGGGTTACCAATATATAGGTAAGGTGGAAAACATTCTATTCTATCAAGGACATCTTCAATTGCTTAAAGTATGTTAAAACGTGTTTGATATATTTAAATAAATTAACTGGAGACATTTGTCATTTCATGCTACATGTGAAGAGGCGTTGCCATGACTGATTACAATATTTTTTATGTTCGGTAATATTTTCAATATGTATAGGAGAAAACTCGGGAAGAGCAGTTTATATATATTGTCAATGGATATTGATTTATTTATTTTTTGGGGATTGATTTACCACCAGAATACTAAAATAGTGGTTAATGAAGTAAAATATGTCATAATCACTTATCTCGACACACATAAAATTGTGCCTATTTCAGATACGAAACAGTGGCCACATTTTCAATGCTAGAATTAAAATGGCGGCGCCCAGTGAACAATGTGAGAACCGGCGACTGCTGTAACCGTTTGCGTTTAGTGCGACGAAGAACGATACATATTGATAGGATTTTAAGGTGATTATGTCACATTTACCCAAATTCTAGATGTAGTTTAATTAGGAGAATGCCGATGGTAGAATTTGCAGAGTTGTAAATTGTAAACACCATGCATTCGACTGTCCTGAGAAAACACTTTTTGTCTGTTCAAAACAGGCTCGGTGGAAAGTTTTCCGCCCGTAACCCCTGTATTTTTTAAAATCATTATACATTGTATGCCAAAGAATATACGCCTATGTTTTTCATAAACAACCTATACCTAGCCCTAAACCTAAACCTTACCCTAAAATCTAACCCTAAACCCTCGAAATAATCCTAATAAATAGAATACATTTAAAGCTCGGGTTACGGACGGAACTCTTATTTCTAATATTCTAGTGACAGATCCCATTGAAAGTTATATAGTCTGCAATTACAGAAAGTCATTGTCTCCGTTTCTGTACAGTGTAAGTAGAGACGTGAATACCAGTCTCATTGTCATTGAACTTAAACTTTCAAGTGAATGGTCTGCTAAACCTAAAACTTGTCTGAATATCATGTCTAAGCCAACTGTTGTCATCTGTAGGAAATGTTTTGTTGATAGATTATAATGATACTGAAAACTCTACTGTTTGCAGGCAGCAAGATGTATTCTGTGTACAAGCAGATCCACCCTCCCACTGGGATTGAGCACTGTGTGTACTGCAACTTCTTCAACTCATGGGAGAAGAATCTTGTCATTGCCGGAGTAAACCAACTTCATGTGTACAGACTCAACTCCGAGCTAGAGGTAAGACATGGCAAAATTAAACATTGAGACAGTCATGTGACTAAGTTGCAGACTAGACAGTGCACACATGACCTGTCAACACTGGGTTCATGTGAAGTAGTGTAGACCTGTTCGAATAGTCCTCATGAAAAGTTAAAGTAATATAGTGTGACCTCTGTAACAGTGGAAACTACATGTTAAATGTGTGGTTCAACTTTGCGTTGTGTGTTTTCCATTCCAACTGGCATGTTTTCCACAAGAGGGTACGCTCCAGGTATAAACCTGTCAATCCTTGAGCAGAATTCTCCTCCACGTTGATGCAGCCTTGCGATTCAGGACATACAAGAAAATTCATATCACCATTTTATTTACAAAAGAAAACTAACTCCAAACAGAACAAATGATACAAGATATATTTCTGGGAAGTTTTTAAACAGAAACCCAATAAATTAACAACAACAGTGTTCCCCCTAGGATTCAGAAAGGGCAGGGTAAATTAAACAAAAAGGGCACTTCATAATCTAAAAGGGCACTTTGGTGAGGATTATTGAAAAAATAACAATAACAAAATGTATATGAAGTCAAATGCTCTTATAATTTTATTTCTAAAGTTCATTTATTACTCTTCTCATTTTGTATTTTAAGATCAAAATTTGGAAAAAAAAGCATTTCAAGACATTAACCTGTTGTCACATTTGTTTACAATTTCACAAAAGACGCAAACAACAATTTACAGTCTTCTTTTCTTTCTTGCCAAGCATCTGTTCACAACTTTTTTCAAGTCAATGTCTGAAACTGACGATGCATTCAGGCTAATCATGAGAAGTCCATTGCAATTTTGAACACTGAGTCTGTTTCTATGATCTGTCACAAGTCACAATCAGTTTCACTTTTGAGAACACTCTCTCAACTTCAGAAGTGGACAATCACAGTTGCATGAATGGACAGTAATTGAACAATGTTTGGATTCAAGTTTCCAAGTTGAGGCTTGAGTCTTCAAAATGGTGGAGGGTGAACTGGTGTCAAGCTCCTTTACTTGACTCCACTCAATCTCTGTTTGGTCGACATTAAGTCCATTTCTGCCCTTGGTGTTCCACTTAGAACATAATGAACAAAACATCATTCCCTTATTTTTGTCATCTTCTGAGTACCTCGACCAGGGACGGTTTTGTTGCCACTTCGTGTCAAATGCAGTCTTGTGACCACCATCTTTCTTCTGTGTTGGATTAACTGACTCTGTCTCGTGTGCCCTTGAATTTTCATAGGAAACTACCTCTGACTCGGGTCCGGTCTGAAAAAAAAAAAATACAAAGTTCATATACCATATTCAAAATATTCTTAGATATTAAATTTGCAATCATAATTATTAAAACAAAAATATCACACAATAATACACCTGAACGTAAGTATCTACTGTGGAGAGCCTCGACAAGGGTGTGGCTTCCCATTGTTTGAAATCGTAAAAATAGTTTTACGCCTTCAAGACTTACATTTTATTAAATCGACAGTAAACACTAAAAACAAGGCTACCAAGTGAAGCTGTTATGCAAGCTGTATTAACTATTTCATTTCCCAGGACAAACAACAAAATAATTCAAGATCAATTTCAAATTGCCGATGGATTCAAAATGGCGGACATTTTCGAAGTTTCAGATTTTCACCTAAACAGCACAGTCACATGAATATCGGTCCCCCAAACGTACCAAAATACATCCCATGTAGTTCACACATCGTTGTCTTTAATAAATGAAGGTCTTATTTGAAAGGCATGTGAAATTGAAAGGGAAATCAACGGCCTAAAAATCACGAACTTAGAGGCACATACCTGTTAGGAGCGAAGAAATCTATTAGTCGGCTGACACTTCCTTGCTTCAACCTTCACCGCTTCTTCTCTTTTCCATTTGATTCTTTCCTTGGTAGGCATTGTGATTTGTAAAGCGAATTAAACACATTTGACTTCGCCATGGTTTAAATGCCAATTTCCTAATCATTATCAAAACAATTTGGTGTCTCCCCTTGAAAGGGAGAGAACTCCGTCCTTAATAAAATCCGGAAAATACACACGGGATGTTGTAAAATCAAGCACAGCTGGAAAAAAAACTGGGATTGAGGCGAAAAGGGCAGGGCGCAAAACAAAAAGGGCAGGGCGCAAAAATCAAAGGGCAGGGCGCAGCGCCCTCCTAAATGTGCCTAGGGGGAACACTAAACAACGATCCCCACCTAGCCCCGAACTTATATAAATCTAGAATAAATACTACAGCTGTCTCATAACAGGGGTAGTTGGTTTTAAAAACCACCCGTCCTTCCTGCTTCCTAACAATTACCCTGTGTATATATATATGTAAATACATCCCTAAAACTAAATACCTTTATTCCCCCAAACACCAATACCTGCGTCTACCCTACTATTTCCTAACCTAAGTGCTTCGCCATGAGAGTGGGGTGGACTGTTTCGTCTCGAAACAAGCACTGGTCCATCATGGAGCAAATTCTACTTATCTCAAAGCAAACGGGGAAGCTGTTTCGTCCCGAAACAAGGGTTCACCTATCCTCAGTAACTGGCCTAATCCACTAAGCGAGGAGCATACCCCCGCCTTTGGAATGGAACCTTCCAGCGCGTGCAGCTAATCACTGCGCCGAAATGGCAAGCAATGCCAAACAAACAAGTGATAACCGTGACCCGCATGCTTCCGCAAACAACGGTGAGAAAAATCCATTGTGTATTGCTATAACTTATAATTCATACCCCCAACCATTCTCTTCCCACAGAGGTTACTCCTGTCATATTTTCCTACGTAACCTTTGTTCTAATACGGCCCTTTCACGGTGTGAGCGTTCAAGACTCGTGATTGGAGACAATCAGATTTAGTTGTGCAATCAGCGACGTTGTTTCAAAAGTGATCATTCGCAAGGCCTCGGTAATTTCCGTATGCTTCGAGAAAACTAAACTTCTCAATCACCCTCGTTGACAACGGACGAGCTAGCCAGTAAACGTCTTGTGTGTAACATCAACACAAGTCCCCGGCAGATGGGGGATATTTGTGGCCCCACATTTGCTTGTGTTAGTCAAGTTGAATCTAAGTCGATGTAACAGGTGTTCTGATTGGATAGAAAGAAGGGAGATAATTCGTGTTGCGATCTTTTGCCGCTAGGGGATTTTACGAGAACCGGGAAATATGGCCGTATTAGAACAGAGGTTACGTAGGAAAATATGACAGGAGTAACCTCTGTGGAAAGAGAATGACCCCCCAACTAACGCTAACCCACCCTTATCTAATATCTATGGCACCCATTATATTTAGCCCCCATTACACCTCTATGATTTGCGTTTTTATACCTATACCCCAAATTGATTCACGGAAACGATGTAAAAGTACCAATCAGGCAAAAGGCAAATATCATGGATGACATCTTCTAAATCTTCTAAAAATTTACAAAAAATGAACCAAAAATCAGTTCTCAGAGCACGTCATCAAAAACCCTTCTCACTCCACTGACTGGCAACAGTCAACCGTATTACCACTATTGTCCATGATTGGCACAAGCGCAAATTATTAGAGTCTTTAACGATAAGACAATTACAACCGCAGCTGAACAGGGATCAAGGAGTGTACCTACCCAGTGCCTGGGAAGTCCATTAGATCATTACTGTCTTCTACCCACATCTGCTAATCACTTGTATAAACTCTTCCCTTGTGTAAACAATATACCTATTGTCTGTACATCGCACACTTTCATCTCATGTTTCTTTTTCAATTTATTGTATATATACTCCTCACAAAAAGTTAAGCAACAAGTATTTTTTTCCACATATTTTCTTCATGGGTATATGAAGTTATTACTTGGCATATAAGCCATGCAGGAGAACCCTTTACGATTGATGAACTTAAAGCATTTCCCATATTGTTTTTCTGATAACATTGTTAGCACCGCCTGAACGCAACCACCCTCAAAACTCACATGCAAAATGCATGGACAACATGTGCTATACACGTCGCACATGCGTTCTGATTGCGTTAAAACTGCCAGCAACGACAAATTGTTGACAGTAACATTTGAGAAATGGCTAGGCGTCACTTGACACCAATTGAAGTTGCTCAAATTGTTGGAATGGTGCAGGGGTCAGACCCAGAGTGCTGTTGCCAACCATTTCAATGTTCATCGAAGCGTCATCTCCAGAGCGATATCACTGTCACCAACAGACCGGATTGATGACTGAGAGACCACGCTCAGGTCGTCTCAAGGGTGACAACTCCCAGAGAGGACCGATACTTGGCCACCCTAGCCCGGGCGGAACAGGTTCACCACAGCCAGATCTCTCCAGAATGACCTCCAGAGAGTTGCTGGGAACAGAATCTCCACACAGACAGTGAGGAACAGACTCCATGCTGAAGGTCTCAGGTCCCTAAGACCAGTGCAACGTATCCCACTGCCTGCACACCATCGTCAACAGAGACTGAATTGGGCTAACCAACGACGTAACTGGAGAGTCAATCGCTGGCGTAATGTTCTCTTCACAGATGAGTCAAGATTCTGTCTGGACTTCAATGATGGTAGGGCTCGTGTGTGGAGAAACCGTAACGAACGATACGCCAACTGTAATGCGATTGCTGAACATGATCAGTATGGAGGTGGGAGTTTGATGATCTGGGCAGGAATCCAAGTTGGACTGACGAACTGATCTTGTGGTCATCAGACGAGGTACCATGACAGGTGTGAGGTACCGAGACTAAATTGTCACACCTGTGATCATTCCGTGGGCTCAGCAAGCAGGTCCTAACTTCATCTTCATGGATGACAATGCCCGTCCCACATCGAAAGCAAGAGTTGTCACTGATGTTCTTCAGACCAACAACATCACCCATATGGACTGGCCTGCAAGGTCTCCTGACCTGAATCCTATTGAACATGCTTGGGACATCCTCGGAAGGCGTGTGTACGGCCTCCACGCTCGTCCCTCAGACTCTGGATCAGCTTGAACAGGCATTGCGGAGAGAATGGCAGAACATTCCACAACAGACTCTAGACAGACTCATCTGGTCAATGCCTAGACGTCTTGAAGCGTGTATTCAGGTCAATGGTGGCCATACACGTTATTAAACTTTGGATCAGTGCTCAAAACTGACAGTAAAAGTGTTTTCAGACATTTTCATACCCTGATGCAACACATTTTGCACATCTTTTTTAGTGACACTGTTTTTGATGATTTGCAAGTCAGTTATTGTTCAATGAATTTTGATTTCTTTGTTGGAAAAGTGTGTGGATATGCTTTATCTTTATGTTTGATTCAGTTGTAATGATCATGAGTAAAGGCATATGTACTGACCAAAAATACACTTGTTGCTTAATTTTTTGTGAGGAGTATACATGCAACACTGGCTTCTTGTACAATTTAGTATATATGCTCATTGATGTATCTTGTTTGTATCAATTCACCTGACGAAGGGGCTAGGAATATCCCAGAAACATTGTGACATGCAATAAACTAGAAGTTGTCATCTATAATATTTCCCTTTTACTTCAATACCAATTTTAAATGCCTCTCAAGAACCTTACCAATCAGGTGTTCAAAACAGGTTATCACTTAGTGGTGGTCCGATTAATTGTAATAATAAAAAATTGGTCGCAGTGCCTAACCGACCGAGCAATCAGTCATTTTTTCTCATAATCAAACACAAACTATTCTGGAACACTTGTTTTCAGTAACAATATTTTTCACAAGGTTGGTTTTGTCTGTTACATTTCATAAGCACTACAAGCTCATTCCAAGTCATGATTGAATTTATCTTAAAGACTCCAGAAAATTTATGTTCCTAACATACTAGTCATCCTGTAAAGATGTGAAATTTGCAAATGCATTTTGTGCAGTTTGCGAAAAAACAACAAAAAAAACCCCCATAGAACTACATGTAGGTTTCCTTTTTTTAAGTGCATTAACATACAAAACCAGGTAAATTTAATAAATGGTGCTAACCAATTAGTTTCGATGATTGATCGGTTGTGGTGAACCAATCATCAAATATGACATTTAAACCAATTCCCAACACTAGTTATGAGCCAGGTGTGAAGCTGAAGGTTCCAGGTAATCATGATCAGATGTTTGATCATATGCTATGATCCAGAAGTTAATTTGTGATTGAATCATTCGTCTCGAAGTATCTAATGTCTTGACTGTTTCACTGGATACTTTAAGTTACTTTCTTTCTCCGGTTAGTTAGCAAAGTAAACTTATCAAAGTTTAGCCACAGCATCATTTACGACACCTAATATCATGTGTCTATTAGCTGTTCGGCATCACGATAGCTGCAGGCCATGTTCTGTTCTAAGCACATTTGAGGGCGTTGGTACAACTCCTTTGTTTCCATTTGTCTGTTTACAAGTAGCAGTGGCACTAAAGCTACAAAATACTCGTCCTGGTGTAAGAATGTGTAGAAATGAATGATAGTGTACATGATGTAGGAGAAATATTTCTTGATATGGTATAAAATGTAATTCAGTTGGAACATGTATTTAAGCATAAAGGTCACATGCAACGTAAAACACAACTTTGCAGATTCATCAAAAATGCAAATTCAACTTATAAAGTTGAAAAATAACGCGATGAAAAAACCAGAGCGAAATTGTAGTTCAAACGATTCTCTAACTTTCCCCCAGCGCTTGGGGGAATTGAAGTGGTTTCAACAGCTGGGCTACGCTCATAGCACATGCACAGTGAAATAGGTTCGCGGAGCTTGGAAGCGGGTTGTCCGGTGAATATTCGGTGAAGGCTTTGGTGTGAGCTTTTTTTCTAATGTTTTGTTGATATTTCACAGGCGTGAGCTTTTTTACATGTTATGACAGTAGATTACCAATTTAACTGTTTATATAATTTCATTTGTCTATTTCACCACACGTTCTTCTTATCGAGTCACTTTCTCAGTTCGATACTTAAAAGCAATGTCATTATTTAGCGTCGACAGAATTTCTAACTGTGATATAGATATGTCGTTGTCACAGACAAAACTTAATGTCTGTTTTATTGGCACTTATGTGTCTGCCTGCCCGTCTGCTAATGACAATATTCAATACACAATTTCAATCACTGACCACATGCAGTTTGAACTTAAACACCTATCAGGCTATACACCATAAACAAAACGCATTGATTTATGGCCCGAGTTCAGTCTCTGTCACATTATGTAATTACACAGACAGGCAGGTGTGATACTTGTACACATGACATGTTATGATGTCTGTTGATTGCAAAATGATATACAAAAACATGTATTTACAAAACCCAACATCTCTATATATACACACACAATGAGCCATGAGGGCATCTGCAAATGAACCAGCCGTTACACTTGAATGCACACCCACCCGCTCTGTCTGGGTTCGGTATCGCGGCTGCTTCGTTTCGAGGGAAGTAAACCCAAGTACACAATATTGCACTTTTGATTTGCGATTGTATGCTTATAATTTTGTTTTTATGTTTTTTCATAACCAGCAATGTATATTATATGTCATGAATAAGTGATAATTGTGTTTTAATTATGTTTGATTTTTTGGTTGCATGTGACCTTTAAGCATATATAAAGTACTTGACACATTTGAGAGGAGATGCAAGTTGATGCTCACTAATGTGATACATTCTGTTGAAGATGTCGGACACTCCAGAGGAAGAAATGTCAGCAGGTGAGATATTTGATTATGTTGTAAACATGAGCATCATTGACTGGACAGTTTAATGTAGGACATGTTGACAGTATCACAATACATCCATATAACTGTATAACAGGTATAAATAGTTATTCTATATGTGACTATATACGTGTACATGACACAATGTTCTCTGTAGACCAGTAATTAAGCAAACTAGTACTAGATGTGAGCCAGGATGATCCATTGAATGTTTAACATTAAATTTTCTGCTTTCTTGTTTGTCATTAGACCTGTGAAGATCCGGGGTAGAATAGGTCTTCAGCAACCCATGCTTGCCACAAGAGGCGACTATGCTTGTCGTAAGAGGCGACTAACGGGATCGGGTAGTCAGGCCTGCTGACTTGGTTGACACGTGTCATTGCACAGATCGATGCTCATGCAGCACCATATAGCTGGAATATTGCTGAGTGCGGCGTAAAACTAAACTCACTCACTCATTCACTCTTTGTCATTAGACATTTCTGTGGCAATAAATTGTAAATCTGATATTGATGTCAGTACATTTTTATCAGTGCAGCAGTATTAATATGTGATCATGATGGCATCCCCAAGTTTAGATTTCATGAAAATAATTATCCCCCGCAAAACACGTTGCGGGGGGGGGGTATTAAAATGGACTCTGTCCGTGCACATTTGTCTTTTTCAGAGCATTACTCTAAACCGTTCACTATTTCTTCACCAAACGTGGTATATAGATATATATGGTGGGGTACTGGTGCTTTTTGGTAGTTTTGGATTTCTGAATACAATATTTTTAGCGTTTCCATGGCGACAAGTTTCACTTTGACTGAAATTGGTGGTAGTGCTCTTTTCTGGAGCAGAACTTAAAAAGTGTTCACTGTTTCATCACGAAATTTCATACATAGGTAGGTCTAGTGGTGAACTGGTGCCTTTCGCTAGTTTTGGATTTCTGCATAAAATGGCGTTTTTTTTTGCATTTCCATGGCAACAATTTTGGCTTCAACTGAATATGGTTGTAGTGCTCCTTTTTGGAGCAGAATTTTGAAACCTTTCAGTACTCTCCTTCCACTTAGCTATATACACACCAAAACATTTGACATAATCACAACTCGTAGACATATTCATGAGGAGTATTTTGCCATTGCGGGAGAGATTGATGACTTAGGGGCTGTAACCTAAGGGGCAGAGATTGACAAGTGACCTTAGACAACATACTTTGTAACTTTTTTTCCAGAGTTATGTCACTTTTTAAGCCCAATCTCATTGAAACCATTTGTTGATAGCCTTCAGCAAGAAAAGACATATCTCGTTATTCATTTTTCAGAGAGTCGCAGGACGAGACTGGAGAACCTGGCTACGTTCACGCTGTTCGGCAACGTGATGTCGATGCAGACCGTGAAGCTCGCCGGCTCACAGAGGGATGCCTTGCTGCTCAGCTTTAGTGATGCAAAGGTAAACACTGTTCTCGGACATGTCAAGAAGTACTTAGTACAAAAAGACTAATGTTGAAAAGTGTACAAGTGTTTTTGTTCATGGCAAGGGTGGATAATGGATCATAATAGGTTTAATTTTTTTTTTTCTTTTAAGTGCATGTCTTTCGTATATTTTTTAAAGTTTCCCTTTTCGAATCAGACATATAATCGAGTTATATTGACTTGAAAGAACTGAACAAAAAATTCAGATTTATTTTTATGTTTCAGTTGTCGGTGCTTGAGTATGACCCCGGTACGCACGACCTGAAGACATCCTCACTCCATCAGTTTGAGGAGCAGGAGCTGAAGGTGAGTTGCCTGTGGTGGTGTTGTGTATGACTAGGATGATCATGAAGTCCCTCCAAACCCCACACTTATCGAATCTTTGCTGTCATTCCTTCACTGTTTTGTCTCTGCCATATTCAGTTATGTCCTAGGAACCATATGGAAACAGTGGTTGATATCAATGCTCACCAAAGCTTCACAGTGACATGTGAGGAGTTTGTGAAGAGTTATATAATTATGTGCATTGCATGGATGATACAAGTATTTAGTTCTAACTATTCCACATGTATACTTACAGGAAGGGTTTTTCAAGCCACACACGATCCCCATGGTGAGAGTTGACCCTGACGGCCGCTGTGCTGTGATGCTGGTCTACGGCACACACCTAGTGGTGCTACCATTCAAGAAGGACGCTGTGTTGGAGGAGATTGACCCGCTTATGGGGGGATCGTAAGTCTCTGGCTACCATAGTTACATGGCGTGATTAACCTAATCTCCAGGAACTTGAACATACCTAATAAATTATCCACCTTTGTATATATTTATAATTATCAGGTGTAAGACCTGTGAGGATCTGTTTTAGAATGGTATCTGATGGTCAGACTAGCTCTCATGGTTGATGCATGACATGACTGATGCTCAGAATACCAATCACCTGATTGTCTGATCAGCATGTAACTGGAATAGTGCAAACAAACGTCTGTATGGACTGAATGTGTATATGGAAACCCCTTTGTGAATACGTAGGAAGCATATAGGCTTTGATTGCCTGTCCTGTGTTGCACCTGTTAATTAGATGTTGCAGGTGTTCTGGAGTATATAAGGTCATCAGATGAACCTACCCTGGTCTCAACTTTAAATGCTACTGGGTACATAATCATGGATAGCACCAACAAAGCACACAGTTGAACTTCAAACAATATAACTTATTTTCCCAATTTGTGTTTGAATGGCTCTGAGTTAGGAATGTTGGATACGCCCCTCCCCCCTGCCACCATCTTCTCTCTGTTATCAGCTTCAGCAGCAAGTCCCCTATTCTGTCTTCCTACATCATCGACCTGCGGAAGCTGGACGAGAAGATCACCAACGTCCACGACATTCAGTTCCTGCATGGCTACTTCGAGCCGACCGTGTTCATCCTGTACGAGCCTCTAATGACATGGACAGGGTAGGTCACTGGGTAGACTGTACTGGGTTTTTGGTCCGCTGCAAGCTGTGCTGGTTGTTGCACTGTGTTTAACAATGAAGCAATCATCTTTCATGTGTCTGGGACTTTGTGTTATTGTTGCTATTTTGATCAGCATAATATGAACATTTATTGATGAAAACACTTGCACACTGACTGATGAACTAATAACTATGGTTTTCTCTTGTGATAGTATATAATATTAGCATCTTATATTAATAAATGTCTCTGACACAACAGACATGGTCCCATGGTTTGGAACAGACTGTTCGTTGTTTCAGAGCACAAATAAGTCCACTGACACTTTCTTTTAATATTGCCAATGTTGTCATTAATGTGTTTGACTGTTCATCATACAGACGCACAGCGGTGAGGGCAGACACCTGCAGCATTGTCGCCATCTCCCTTAACATCCAACAGAAAGTCCATCCCATCATCTGGTCACTGAGTAGTCTCCCCTTTGACTGTTTCATGGCGGTCGCTGTACCTCGCCCAATTGGTACGTAGTAATGATCTGGATGATTGCTTATCTTCCTTTCCTGTCAAACTCTGTCCTCACCCAGCGTTGTCGTCTATTGTTCTGCATCCATAGGTGTATAAGATGCCAAGATGTAACTTGAATATTGTGATTGCAGCTTGCTATGCGGAGTTACTTCCCTTAGCTTCCAGCTCAGCCCTGTTTTTAGCCTCGTGATCCCTGCTCTCTCAACATAAAGTGGTAAACTCCACATCTAATGGAAGCCCATGGCAAGCCATGCTTGTGGTATGCAGCGACTAACAAGATCAGGTGTTTAGACTCCCTGACTTCCAGCTAACGTTTTTGGTTATTCCTGAAACACTGATTTTCCTCCCATCTTGTCAGACACTCACAAGATCTGTTATTGGCTGTGGTTTCGCTAGATAGTAGATAGGGACAGTGGAAATCTCGTTAATCACTAATGCACGAATTAGATGACGAGGCATTTGGCTACCTTAAGAGAGTCATAGTCGTCAGTAATCTCTGTTATAGAGATTATCAGTACATAATGTAATCTTTGCACATGTGTGTATGTACTTTGTTGCATTACACAACCAGGTTGATATGTTTGGTTGACTTCCACGATGTGTGTGTTCCAGGTGGCGTGATAGTGTTTGCCGTCAACTCACTTCTCTACCTGAATCAGAGCGTGCCTCCGTATGGAGTCTCCCTCAATAGCATCGCAGAGACTTCCTCAGCCTTCCCTCTCCGTAAGTAATCACTGAGAGCCCCACTGTCATCTGTCAGTTTCTGTGATTTGACTAGGTCGCATATGTTGAGGACTCTTAGTAGGATAATTACTGTTCATTAATAAGTTTAATAACAGTTTCTATATAAATAAACAAAGTGATTGTGAGTATTTTCAGATATGATGTCCATGGGAATAGAATGATCATGATGAATGTTTCCCTGGCAAATGAGTGTCAAAACTAATGATGTACAACACTATCAACACCGGGGACACCTCCTGATGGGGAGGAGTCGTTTTAATTCTTTTGTAATCAAGAAGCGTTTGACTTATGAAATCTTACTCGGACAACATTTAAAGCCTGCAATTTATGTGGCTGATATAAATTTGGAGAATTTTAAGATCTCCATTCTGCAAATAATGTTAGTTGAGTTGGATGTATTGCATTTCTAGTTGTCGTCTCCCCACATATATCCTCTCCTGGACAAGATTTAGTTACTTCCTGCAGTGTTTCACGAATGGTGTTTCAAAGTAACAGGACAATGGGTCCTGTAAGTTTCAGATGTCTGCCTGACCCATTGAAAATTCCCAGGACCCATAGAATAAAATAAAACACACATTACAGATTTAACATTTCTTATAATTGGCATTGAAATTATTAACAAACATAAGATTTATAAACAGCAAGCAAGTGTCACATGTCACATAAAAGAACTTCAGTCAAAGTCATTGTGAAATATACAGTCAGACACTGGGGCCGGCGGGTTGTAGACTTCTGTCTGACCGTTGGCGAATCTGCCGGATTTGTCAGAGGGTCAGACGCTATTCGTGAACACTGTTCCTGTTGTACTGATGTCAGCATCCACATTCCTAGTGTGATTTGTTCCAGGGATACAGGACGGAGTAAAGCTGACGCTGGACTGTGCTCGGGCCTCCCTGATCTCACACGACAGACTGGTGTTATCCCTGAAGGGTGGGGAGTTGTGAGTGGACTCGGACTTTAATCCTTCTACAATTTGTTGTTCATTGTTAACATATTTGTCCTAGAATGATGTTATGCCAGTCTACCTATATCCATCTGTGTTGTTTTTGTGACCTTTCATTCCAATCTGTCTGACCTTCTGTCCAGGTACGTGTTGACCCTGGTGGTGGATGGCATGAGGAGCGTTCGCAGTTTCCACTTCGACAAGGCCGCTTCTAGCGTGCTCACCACCTGCGTGAGTAGTTTAAATCTATACCTACAACTGTGATGAAAGATAGTTTGTGTTCTAACCAGAGCTACTTGTAATCTTTTAGAGACAAAAATTCACTTATTTTAATGTTTGCATCGATGAGGAATTTCTGTTTACATAGACTCAACGAAAATTACATTATTATTTGATTAGTCAGATTCTGAAGCCAATACCACCAGAACTGCCTCCACTCATAAAGATCCATAACCTGCTGTCTGCTTCTATATACAGATGTTTCCCATGTTTCATTGTCACACAAAAGACACAGAGATATACTCAGAACCTGTGTAATCCATATGACCAGTACAGGAGATGATTCACAGTTAAAGTAGGGCTGTTGGTTCAACCTCAGACCACCTTTGTCCATGACTGACGGACTGACTGAGTTTAGTTTTACGCCGCTTTTAGCAATATTCCAGCAAGATCGCGACAGGGGACTTGTCTATGAATGTAACCAAGGACGTCTCTTTCCCTGATAATCATCAGTGTTATATTCAGGGGTGGAAATACCTTTAAAATTGCTAGTGTACTCCGGAACAGTGGCACATGTAAAATCACTTGCCCTGATAATTTTTCCACTATACCGGCCGTTTTCTTATTGATTTTTTTAAAATAAACAACATAATGAAACATTGGAAAGTCAACTGGACACTGGTACAGTGTGATATACAAATTTGCTTGCCTGACAGAAAAAAACATTGGACTCGGACGTCGGGCAATGGGTTATTTCCACCCCTGATATGCGAAGACATTGGTCTGTTGTGGGTTTGATGTCACACACAGATGGGCAGTTCTCTTGCCGACTGCTTATCAGGTGAAGCCAACAGACCTTTAACTGTCCTTTTCTGTTCTCCAGATGTGCCAGTGTGAGGAGGGCTTCCTGTTCCTGGGCTCGCGGCTCGGCAACTCGCTGCTGCTCAAGTACGAAGAGAAGGCTCTGGACAAGTCTGAGAAGCAGGAGGCTGACAAGAAACAGGTGTGTGTTGTATCTGTGTCTTGTCCTCTGTGTGTGTTGTATCTGTGTCTTGTCTTGTGTTGTATCTGTGTCTTGTCTTGTGTGTGTTATATCTGTGTCTTGTCTTGTGTTGTATCTGTGTCTGTGTCTTGTCTTGTGTTGTATCTGTGTCTTGTCTTGTGTTGTATCTGTGTCTTGTCTTGTGTGTGTATCTGTGTCTTGTCTTGTGTTGTATCTGTGTCTTGTCTTGTGTTGTGTGTATCTGTGTCTTGTCTTGCGTTGTATCTGTGTCTGTGTCACGTGTTGTATCTGTGTCTTGTCTTGTGTTGTACCTGTGTCACGTGTTGTATCTGTGTCTTGTGTTGTATCTGTGTCTTGTGTTGTATCTGTGTCTTGTCTTGTGTTGTATCTGTGTCTTGTCTTGTGTTGTATCTGTGTCTTGTCTTGTGTTGTATCTGTGTCTTTGTGTTGTATCTGTGTCTTGTGTGTGTTGTATCTGTGTCTTGTCTTGTGTTGTATCTGTGTGTGTGTCACGTGTTGTATCTGTGTCTTGTCTTGTGTTGTACCTGTGTCACGTGTTGTATCTGTGTCTTGTGTTGTATCTGTGTCTTGTGTTGTATCTGTGTCTTGTCTTGTGTTGTATCTGTGTCTTGTCTTGTGTTGTATCTGTGTCTTGTCTTGTGTGTGTTGTATCTGTGTCTTGTCTGGTGTTGTATCTGTGTCTGTGTCACGTGTTGTATCTGTGTCTTGTGTTATATCTGTGTCTTGTCTTGTGTTGTATCTGTGACTTGTCTTGTGTTGTATCTGTGACTTGTCTTGTGTTGTATCTGTGTCTTGTCTTGTGTTGTACCTATGTCTGTGTCAGGTGTTGTATCTGTGTCTTGTGTTGTATCTGTGACTTGTCTTGTGTTGTATCTGTGTCTTGTGTTGTATCTGTGTCTTGTGTTGTATCTGTGTCTGTGTCAAGTGTTGTATCTGTGTCTTGTGTTGTATCTGTGTCTTGTGTTGTATCTGTGTCTTGTGTTGTATCTGTGTCACGTGTTGTGTGCCTTGTGTATGATATGTTATATCTGTATCATGTGCTGTGTTACCTGTGTCATGTATGTGTATGTGTGTGCTGTTTTCTCATTGTTGTAGATGGTGTGTGTCTGATGTGTGTTGTGTGTGTGTTCTGCCATGTGTGTAATGTGTGTTGTCTGTGTGATGTGCCATGTGTGTGTTGTGTGTGATGTGTCATATGTGTACTGTGTCATGTGTGTGTTGTGTTGTGTGTACTGTGTCATGTGTGTGATGTGCAATGTGTCTGTGATGTGTCATGTGTGTACTGTGTAATGTTTGTGTTGTCATGTGTGTGTAGTGTGTTTTGTGTCTGATGTGCCTTGTGTGTGATGTCATGTGTGTACTGTGTGATGTGTGTTGTGTGTGTGTGTTCTGTCATGTGTGTGTAATGTGTCATGTGTGTGTGATGTGAGAAATGCCATGTGTGTGATGTCATGTGTGCATTGTCATGTGTGTTGTGTGTGTGATATGTAATGTGTGCTGTCATGTGTGTGATGTGCCATGTGTGTGTGATGTGTCATGTGTGCACTGTGTCATGTGTGTGTTGTGTGTTTGCTGTGCCATATGTGTGTGATGTCATGTGCGTACTGTGTGATGTGTGTTGTGTCATGTGTGCACTGTGTCATGTGTGTGTTGTGTGTTTGATGTGCCATATGTGTGTGATGTCATGTGTGTGATGTGTGTGATGTGCCATGTGTGAGTGTTGTGTGTGATGTGTCATGTGTGTACTGTGTAATGTATGTGTAATGTGTCATGTGATGTGTTGTGTGTGTTTTGTATATGTGTCATATGTGTGTGATATGGCATGTCTATGTGTCATGTGCATGTGTTTTATGTTTTGTGGTGTGTGTTTGATCTGTGTGTGTTGCGTGTGTCATGTGTGTACTGTGCCATGTATGTACTGTGTGATGTGTTGTGTGTATGATGTGTTGTGTGTGATGTGTTGTCTGTGTGGTGTCTGTGTGTGTGATGTGTTGTATGTTATGTGTGTGTGTGATGTCGTGTGTGTGATGTGTCATGTATTTGCTGTGTGTTGTGTGTGATGTGTCATGTATGTTGTGTGTGATGTGTTGTGTGTGTGTGAGTGACGTGTCATGTTTCTGTGATGTGTCGTTTTTGATGTGCTGTTGTGCGATGTGTTATATGTATGTGATATGTGTCGTGTGTATCTGCCATGCATGATGTATGTGATTGTGTTTGTGTTTTGTGTGTATTTGTGTGTATTATATATATATATGTTGTATCTGTGTAATGTATATCTCCCGTCACCAGAGATACAGTGGATATATTTCTTTGTTGTTCTTCGAATTCCACTGCCCCCAGATATGACTCTGCAATTTATTCTCCTGTTTGCAGAATGAACCAGCTTCTAAAAAGAGGAAAGTTGAAGGGGCAGAACAGTTAGGTCAGTATGTCACACATTCAGCATTCATTCTATAGGAGCACTCATGCATGTTATTGTCGCATTTGGGCATTTGTAGGGTAATATGTTTGTGTGTATATTTTTTAATTCCACTCACCAACGTGGGGCGATGGGGAAGCCTAATGGTTAAAGCGTACGCTAGTCACTCTGAAGAACCAGGTTCGATTCCCCACATGGGTACATTATGTGAAGCCCATTTCTGGTGTCCCCTGTCGTGATACTGCTGGAATATTGCTAAAAGTGCCGTAAAACCATACTCGCTCTCTCACTCCCCTCACCAGCAGTGTTTCAGCTGTATGACATCTGTCTGTTAATAACCAGATCTGGACCAGAAAAAACGGTGATTGCCAACATGACAAACAATTCAGTGATTCCATCAGGCGCCTCTTATGACAAGTATCGGTTGCTGAAGACCAATTCGAACCACGATCTTCATATTTATTTACTCACTGACTGCCTATCTGTGTTGCAGCCTCTGATGTGACAGAGATTGAGAACCTGGACGAGCTGGAGGTGTACGGCGCCAGTGAAAACACTTCAGGAACCACCATTACGTCCTACACCTTCGAGGTCAGGTCATGTAGATGTTTCAACTCAAACATGAATAAAGAAGTACATTATGAGTAATGTGATGTATTTTAGAAATAATCAAATGGAATGTTGAAATTTTCTGTTTGAATTGTCAATTTTTAATTTTATGAATCTTTCGCTGAAAAGTGTTAACCAATCTGGACAGTCACTTACTGTCATGCAAGCATTGAGGAGTTACCTCCCTTGTGATCGAGCAGGTCTGTGACAACATATGGAACATCGCCCCATGTGGACAGATCACAATGGGAGATCCTGTCTTCCTGTCTGAAGAGTTCAGCAGCTCCCTTGACCCTGACCTTGAACTTGTCACGACCTCTGGCTATGGCAAAAATGGGGCCTTGTCAGTATTACAGGTAAATATCCTCTTGTTCTTCTTTGAAGGGCAGTTCATACTGTACCAATATTAAACTGAGCTGCTAGATTCAGAGGTTTGATGTACAGGGTTTAATCTTGACTTAGACATCTAGGGGTCGTCGGTATTCCTTATAAAGATTACGGTCCTTTCAGGAAATATGAAAGTGATGTTAAGTAACGAAATGTTGTAGTGAACTGTCCTATATGATTTGATAATTCAATTAATTATAGGAGTTTCATACATCTCTTTAAGAATTTGGTAATATTGAATCATTGTAACATCAGTGTTTGTCCTAGGGACACAGCATATTGGTTTGTCTTCATCCCTTCGAGACCCATACCAGCTCATCTGTCCAATGTTAATGTTTGTTTGAAAATCACACAAATAGGAAGGCCACATCCACACATTGTTTCAGCGACTGACAATGGCCTGGGTGTAAATGTAAGTCTGGAGTTATGTCTGCTCCTGTTGTGATCCCGTCTGTATGCTTGTGTTCCAGAGAAGCATTCGGCCGCAGGTTGTGACGACGTTTGAGCTGCCCGGATGTCGAGACCTGTGGACAGTGTTCAGCTCTGTGCCCCTGGTAGATGATGTGAGTCTTGTTTGCAGTAGTGCAGGGATAACTTGGATGTAGACGGTGTTGATGAAGTTCAGTGATGTTGAAAACGGTGTCATTGAAATGGTTGACATGATGTTGGTGTGGGTGATGTTCATGTGAAGACGTGGATGTGATGGTGTTTGTTGGGTTGATGAGATGTGGATGGTGTTGATGAAGTTTAGTGATGTTGAAGACGGTGTCATTGAAATGGATGACATGATGTTGGTGTAGGTGATGTTCTTGTGAAGATGTGGATGTGTTGATGTGGTTCATGATGTTTTGGAGGATGCTGTTGCCGCTAACAGTGCTGTTGATGCTGCTGTTGCCGCTGACAGTGCTGTTGATGATGCTGTTGCCTGCTGTTGCTGCTGCTGACAGTGCTGTTGATGATGCTGTTGCTGCTGACAGTGCTGTTGATGATGCTGTTGCCGCTGACAGTGGTGTTGATGCTGCTGTTGCGGCTGACAGTGGTGCCTGACAGTGACAGTGTTGATGCTGCTGTTGCCGCTGACAGTGCTGTTGATGCTGCTGTTGCCGCTGACAGTGCTGTTGATGCTGCTGTTGCTGCTGACAGTGCTGTTGATGATGCTGTTGCCGCTGACAGTGCTGTTGATGCTGCTGTTGCTGCTGACAGTGCTGTTGATGCTGCTGTTGCTGCTGACAGTGCTGTTGATGATGCTGTTGCCGCTGACAGTGCTGTTGATGCTGCTGTTGCCGCTGACAGTGGTGTTGATGCTGCTGTTGCCGCTGACAGTGGTGTTGATGCTGCTGTTGCTGCTGACAGTGCTGTTGATGCTGCTGTTGCCGCTGACAGTGCTGTTGATGCTGCTGTTGCCGCTGACAGTGCTGTTGATGCTGCTGTTGCCGCTGACAGTGCTGTTGATGATGCTGTTGCTGCTGACAGTGCTGTTGATGATGCTGTTGCCGCTGACAGTGGTGTTGATGCTGCTGACAGTGGTGTTGATGCTGCTGACAGTGCTGTTGATGCTGCTGTTGCGCTGACAGTGCTGTTGATGCTGCTGTTGCTGCTGTTGATGATGCAGCGTGACTGTTGCTGCTGATGCTGCTGACAGTGCTGACAGTGCTGTTGATGCTGCTGTTGCTGCTGACAGTGCTGTTGATGCTGCTGTTGCTGCTGACAGTGCTGTTGATGATGCTGTTGCTGCTGACAGTGCTGTTGATGCTGCTGTTGCTGCTGACAGTGCTGTTGATGCTGCTGTTGCTGCTGACAGTGCTGATGATGCTGTGGCAGTGGTGTTGATGCTGCTGTTGCTGCTGACAGTGGTGTTGATGCTGCTGTCAGTGGTGTTGATGCTGCTGTTGCCGCTGACAGTGGTGTTGATGCTGCTGTTACCGCTGATGTTGATGACAGTGCTGTTGATGCTGCTGTTACCGCTGACAGTGGTGTTGATGCTGCTGTTACCGCTGACAGTGGTGTTGATGCTGCTGACAGTGCTGTTGATGATGCTGTTGATGCTGACTGTGGTGTTGATCATGATGATGCTTGTGTTGACAGGAGGCAGAGAAGGAAGAAGGAGAGAAAGAGGAGGAACCCAAACCAGAGTTGAAAGGAGGTCACGCCTTCCTCATCCTGAGTCGGGCTGACACCAGCATGGTCAGTCAACAAGTTTTTAAAACTTGAAATAAGAAATTACCATAATTTCTTCTTGTCACTGTTTTCAGTGTAGTTGGAAAGAGGAAGTGAACAGTTTTCGGGGTTGTGAGGATTCCAGCATTGGCTCTTGTAAATGTTGATAGCTATTTGATGTTCTACAACAGGCAGTGTTTTACCTGAATTGAACCCTCCAATGTACTTCTATTGTGTTATCACCAGGTTCTGAAGACAGGCCAGGAGATCATGGAGTTGGACCACAGCGGCTTTAGCACTGAGGCAGCGACGGTCTACGCAGGGAACATTGGTGCCAACTACATCCTGCAAGTCTGTCCCAAGGCTATCCGCCTGCTTGAAGGAGGTACCACTCTTCTACAGTGTATTCTGCTTGGAATTTTTTTAAAGTATCTATAGATAGATAGATATTGTGTATAATTCAAGAGCACTGATATTACATACAAGAGTATGAGAGAATTAGTAACTTAACCCTGATCTAATTGTGTTTTGTGACAGTGACATTTGAACTCTGACCTCCTTGCGTCTTGTGACAATGACATTTGAACCATGACCTCCTTGCATCTTGTCACAATGACATTTGAACCCAGCCGTAATTGTGTCTTGTGACAGTGAAATTTAAACCCTGATCTCCTTGTGTCTCGTGACAGTGAAATTTAAACCCTGATCTCCTTGTGTCTCGTGACAGTGAAATTTAAACCCTGATCTCCTTGTGTCTCGTGACAGTGAAATTTAATCCCTGACATCCTTGTGACTTGTGACAGTGACATTTAAATCCTGACCTCCTTGTCACAGTGACATTAGAACCCTGATCTGCTTGTGACAGTGACATTTGAATCCTGACCTCATTGTTACTTGTGACAGTGACATTAGAACCTTGACCTTCATGTGACAGTGACATTTGACCCCTGACCTCCTTGTGATGTGTGACAGTGACATTTGAACCCTGACCTCCTTGTGTCTCGTGACAGTGACATTAGAACCCTGACCTCCTTGTGTCTTGTGATACTGACATTTGACCCCTGACCTCCTTGTGTCTTGTGACGGTGACATTTGCACCTGACCTCCTTGTGTCTTGTGACAGTGACATTTGAACCCTGACCTCCTTGTAACTAATGACAGTTACATTTGCACCTGACCTCCTCGTGTCTTGTGACGGTGACATTTGCACCTGACCTCCTCGTGTCTTGTGACAGTGACATTTGAACCTGACCTCCTTGTGTATTGTGACAGTGACATTTGAACCCTGACCTCCTTGTAACTTATGACAGTGACATTTGAACCCTGACCTCCTCGTGTCTTTTGACCATGACATTTGCACCTGACCTCCTTGTGTCTTGTGACAGTGACATTTGAACCCTGACCTCCTTGTGTATTGTGACAGTGAGATTTGCACCTGACCTACTTGTAACTTATGACAGTTACATTTGACCACTGACCTCCTTGTGTCTTGTGACAGTGACATTTGAACCCTGACCTTATTGTGTCTTGTGATAGTGACATTTGACCCCGGACCTCCTTGTGTCTTGTGACCCTGACATTTGAATCCTGACCTCCTTGTGACTTGTGACAGTGACATTTGAACCCTGACCTTATTGTGTCTTGTGATAGTGACATTTGAACTCTGACCTTGTGTCTTGTGATAGTGACATTTGAACCTGATTTCCTTGTGTCTTGTGATAGTGACATTTGAACCCTGACCTCCTTGTGATAGTGACATATGACCCCTGACCTCTTTGTACCTTGTGACGGTGACATTTGACCCCTGACCTCCTTGTGACTGTTGACAGTGACATTTGAACCCTGACCTCCTTATGCCTTCTGAAAATGACATTTGAACCCTGACCTCCTTGTGTCCTCTGACAGTGACATTTGAACCCTGACCTCCTTGTGACAGTGACATTAGAACCCTGACCTCCTTGTGTCTTGTGACAGTGACATTAGAACCCTGACCTCCTTGTGCCTTGTGGCAGTGACATTTGACCCCTGACCTCCTTGCGTCTTGTGACAGTGACATTTGACCCCTGACATCCTTGCGTCTTGTGACAGTGACATTTGACCCTTGACCTCCTTGTGCCTTGTGGCAGTGACATTTGACCCCTGACCTCCTTGCGTCTTGTGACATTTGACCCCTGACATCCTTGCGTCTTGTGACAGTGACATTTGAACCTTGACCTCCTTGTGCCTTGTGGCAGTGACATTTGAGCCCTGACCTCCTTGCGTCTTGTGACAGTGACATTTGACCCCTGACATCCTTGTGCCTTGTGACAGTGACATTTGAACCTTGACCTCCTTGTGCCTTGTGACAGTGACATTTGAACTCTGACCTCCTTGTGTCTCGTGACAGTGAAGCAGCTGCAGCACATCCCCATGGACATCTGCATCACCAAGTGCACCGTGGCCGACCCCTACGTCCTCATCATGACAGAGGATGGAGGCTTCATGCTGCTCACACTCAAACAGGACAGCTTCGGCACCGGCGTCAGACTGGCCGTCATGAAACCACAGCTACAGATAGTAGGTCGTAACATCAGGAGGGTTGTGGTTGGGGTCAAGGTCAATCATGGCAGACTTGAAATTGGGATGTAAAGAAAATATTGTCAGTAACTATGTGTCAGATATTGAAAAACAGACGTGGAAAACTGAATTAATGCTTCATGAAAGTGTCTATTGATAATGCTTTGGCAGAGTGTAGAATCATGTGACTATAAACTTATGCACATTGGTGCTTCAAGAGGGTTGTTTGTATATATTCTTGTGAACAAAATATTGTTGTCAGTTAGGAGCTGAGGTTCTGTAGATGATGTATGAGATCCACTGTGGAGTATGATTAGACCCACATTTTGTATGGTTTATGTGTTTAAATATAATTTTTTACCACTTTTGGGACCACAAATTTTTGCAATGACCTTCTCTTTAACCTAGTTTCAATTGCTAGATTGTATTAGCCCAAATGTATTCTCTCTGTGATGCAGTGTATTCTTTCTGTGATACAGTGTATTGTCTCTCTGATATGGTGTATTTTTTCTGTCGTACAGTGTATTCTCTCTGTGATACAGTGTATTCTCTCTCTGATATGGTGTATGCTCTCTGTGATACATTGTATTCTTTCTGTGATACAGTGTATTCTCTCTGTGATACAGTGTATTCTTTCTGTGATACAGTGTATTCTCTCTGTGATACAGTGTATTCTCTCTGTGATATGGTGTATTCTTTCTGTGATACAGTGTATTCTCTCTGTGATACAGTGTATTCTCTCTCTGATATGGTGTATTCTCTCTGTGATATGGTGTATTCTCTCTGTGATACAGTGTATTCTCTCTCTGATATGGTGTATTCTCTCTGTGATATGGTGTATTCTCTCTGTGATACAGTGTATTCTCTGTGAAACAGTGTATTCTCTGTGTGATACAGTGTATTCTCTGTGTGATACAGTGTATTCTCTCTGTGATATGGTGTATTCTCTCTCTGATATGGTGTATTCTCTCTGTGATACAGTGTATTCTCTCTGTGATACAGTGTATTCTCTCTCTGATATGGTGTATTCTCTCTGTGATATGGTGTATTCTTTCTGTGATACAGTGTATTCTCTCTCTGATACTGTGTATTCTCTCTCTGATATGGTGTATTCTCTCTGTGATATGGTGTATTTTCTCTCTGATATGGTGTATTCTCTCTCTGATATGGTGTATTCTCTCTGTGATACAGTGTATTCTCTGTGATACAGTGTATTCTCTCTGTGATACAGTGTATTCTCTCTGTGATACAGTGTATTCTCTCTGTGATACAGTGTATTCTCTCTGATGTGGTGTATTCTCTGTGTGATACAGTGTATTCTCTCTGATATGGTGTATTCTCTGTGTGATACAGTGTATTCTCTGTGTGATACAGTGTATTCTCTGTGTGATACAGTGTATTCTCTGTGATACAGTGTGTATCCTCTCTGTGGTATGGTGTATTCTCTCTGTGATACAGTGTATTCTCTCTGTGATACAGTGTATTCTCTGTGATACGGTGTATTCTCTCTGTGATACAGTGTATTCTCTCTGTGACAGCAACCCCTCGTAGTAAGTGTGACGGCCTACAAGGACCTAAGCGGCATGTTGACAACATCACCTATCAAGGCAGAGGAACATCACACTGAGAAGGCCAACAAGCCTGTGGTGGAGAAACCCGTTCTTCTGGATAGTAGGTCAGTTCAGTACCAATGATACTCCCTTACTCATAAATTCTTTATAAATTATAAAGGGCTAATGATTATGGGGGCCTACTGCTTATGTTCACAACCAAATGTACACTGGATTGTCAGCACTTATGTCTTTGGACACGTATAATTTACTTGGGACAGAAGCAGCGACATTCTATTACTCCTAAACATGTTATTTTGATTCCATTCATTAAATGATTTGTTTTTATATTTCAGTGCCATCGATGATGAGGATGAACTGTTGTATGGAGACTCTGACACGTCTGCTTTCACCTCCTCCTTCAGTATGGGCACACAGGACACCAAGCAGACGTGAGTGGGGATGGTGTCCCAGATGTAGGTGGGGATGTTGTCATAGATGTAGGTGGGGATGTTGTCACAATTGTAGGTGGGGATGTTGTCACAGATGTAGGTGGGGATGTTGTCATAGATGTAGGTGGGGATGTTGTCACAATTGTAGGTGGGGATGTTGTCACAGATGTAGGTGGGGATGTTGTCACAGACGTAGGTGGGGATGTTGTCATAGATGTAGGTGGGGATGTCACAATTGTAGGTGGGGATGTTGTCACAGATGTAGGTGGGGATGTTGTCCCAGACTTCAGTGGAGATGTTGTCACAGATGTAGGTGGGGATGTTGTCACAGATGTAGGTGGGGATGTTGTCCCAGACTTCAGTGGAGATGTTGTCACAGATGTAGGTGGAGATGTTGTCACAGATGTAGGTGGGGATGTTGTCCCAGACTTCAGTGGAGATGTTGTCACAGATGTAGGTGGGGATGTTGTCACAGATGTAGGTGGGGATGTTGTCACAGATGTAGGTGGGGATGTTGTCCCAGACTTCAGTGGAGATGTTGTCACAGATGTAGGTGGAGATGTTGTCACAGATGTAGGTGGGGATGTTGTCCCAGACTTCAGTGGAGATGTTGTCACAGATGTAGGTGGAGATGTTGTCACAGATGTAGGTGGGGATGTTGTCCCAGACTTCAGTGGAGATGTTGTCACAGATGTAGGTGGGGATGTTGTCACAGATGTAGGTGGGGATGTTGTCACAGATGTAAGTGGGGATGTTGTCACAGATGTAGGTGGGGATGTTGTCACAGATGTAGGTGGGGATGTCACAGGTGTAGGTGGGGATGTTGTCACAGATGTGAGTGGGGATGTTGTCCCAGATGTAGGTGGGGATGTTGTCACAGATGAGGGTGGGGATGTTGTCCCAGACTTCAGTGGAGATGTTGTCACAGATGTAGGTGGGGATGTTGTCACAGATGTAGGTGGGGATGTTGTCCCAGACTTCAGTGGAGATGTTGTCACAGATGTAGGTGGGGATGTTGTCACAGATGTAGGTGGGGATGTTATCACAGATGTAGGTGGGGATGTCCCAGATGTAGGTGGGGATGTTGTCACAGATGTAGGTGGGGATGTTGTCACAGATGTAGGTGGGGATGTTGTCCCAGACGCCTGTGGAGATGTTGTCACAGATGTAGTTGGGGATGTTGTCCCAGACATCAGTGGAGATGTTGTCACAGATGTAGGTGGGGATGTTGTCACAGATGTAGGTGGGGATGTTGTCACAATTGTAGGTGGGGATGTTGTCACAATTGTAGGTGGGGATGTTGTCCCAGATGTAGGTGGGGATGTTGTCACAATTGTAGGTGGGGATGTTGTAACAGATGTAGGTGGGGATGTTGTAACAGATGTAGGTGGAGATGTTGTCACAGATGTAGGTGGGGATGTTGTCACAATTGTAGGTGGGGATGTTGTAACAGATGTAGGTGGGGATGTTGTCCCAGATGTAGGTGGAGATGTTGTAACAGATGTAGGTGGGGATGTTGTCACAATTGTAGGTGGGGATGTTGTAACAGATGTAGGTGGGGATGTTGTCCCAGATGTAGGTGGAGATGTTGTCACAGATGTAGGTGGGGATGTTGTCACAGATGTAGGTGGGGATGTTGTCACAATTGTAGGTGGGGATGTTGTCACAGATGTAGGTGGGGATGTTGTCCCAGATGTAGGTGGGGATGTTGTCACAATTGTAGGTGGGGATTTTGTCACAGATGTAGGTGGGGATGTTGTCCACAATGTAGGTGGGGATGTTGTCACAATTGTAGGTGGGGATTTTGTCACAGATGTAGGTGGGGATGTTGTCACAGATGTAGGTGGGGATGTTGTCACAATTGTAGGTGGGGATGTTGTCACAATTGTAGGTGGGGATGTTGTCCCAGATGTAGGTGGGGATGTTGTCACAATTGTAGGTGGGGATTTTGTCACAGATGTAGGTGGGGATGTTGTCACAATTGTAGGTGGGGATTTTGTCACAGATGTAGGTGGGGATGTTGTAACAGATGTAGGTGGGGATGTTGTAACAGATGTAGGTGGGGATGTCTCTATATATAATTGGAGTTGTTTTTGCAAGTGGTTCCTGTGAGAATGTCTTGCCAACTCCCAACTATAAGTTATTTACAGGGCATTTCTTCTGAACACAGAATGCGATAAATACAAAAACTTTGTTCAAAGTTATTGTTAATACCTTTTACAGTAATATAACCACACAATGATATTTTCAGAGCACCAGGGAAGGTCACCAAGGACATCAAACCTTCCTACTGGGCTGTCATGTGTCGAGAGAACGGAGATATGGAGGTCAGTGGCTAAATGGCAGTTATTGTATGGTTTTTGATTGGTGAATGAAGCTTATCCCCCACTCCGCTCTGAAAGTAGGCCACACCCACATATGGACTGCTGTGTCCTGATTGGCTGATTAAAGAATGGGCGGGGCTTGTATTGTTGTTATTATTTATGATGGCTGACATATAACAGATATAACAGGTGAGGCTGTCTCACATATGGGTCGATGCTTTCATGTTTTCTGAAATGTCAGACGAAATCTCCCTGGTTTGTCTTACCTGCGGGGCAGTGGGGTAGCCTAGTGGTTAAAGCATTCGCTCGTCACGCCGAAGGCCATGGTTAGATTCCCCACATGGGCACAATGTGTGAAGCCTATTTCTGGTGTCCCCTGCTGTGATATTGCTGGAATATTGCTAAAAGCGGCGCAAAACCCAACTCACTCACTCACTCACTTGTCTTACGTGACATGATAGTGATGTTCTGGGCTGACTGCCACAGTGATGTGTTTCTTGTTCCAGATCTACAGCATGCCGGACTTCAAGCTGTGTTTCTACGTCAAGAACTTCCCCATGGGGCACAAGGTGCTAGTAGACAGTGGGCAGGTGGTTGATACCGCCGCTAAACAAAGGTAGGCTTCATGTGTTGTTGTGTTGTGTAACATATGTTATATTTGGGATTACACTTTCTTAGTAAAGAACAGATTCTAGTACTTTTGGAAGCTGCGGTGGCTGAACAGGTTAGGCTGCTGACTTTGTGTGCTGGCTATTAGGTGCCTGACTGATTAGGTGTGGGTTCGAATCCCAGGATGGGACTCAACCCAAAAAAGTGCTAGAATCTGTAGTTTTCTAAGAAAGAGTAATCCCAAATATGACATATGTTACATTTGACCACTTTCTAAATGGCATTGTGTATTCGTTGTTGTGTTGTGTCATTGTGGTATCTTCTGCCCAACTTTCTGCGGTCTTTGAAACGATGCATTAGTATTAATTCTGTGATATGATATTTAACCCTCACACTTGTTCATAATTTGGCAAAGATTAACAATATGAGTTTGACAAGCAGAATGATCATGGGTTCTGAAATCAATATTGGCCCGATTACTGATTCTTGGAATATCATCACCATGCTCGTCACCTGAAGGACCTGTGGGTATATAAAACTGATGCTTCTTGATATACAGTATATAATGTGTTCAGTGTGGGTCACAACCTACACAGTGACAACTATGAAACAGCCTGAGTTTGCATCTATTTCTTCACAACTTGACATTACAGGTTTTGTCTGAATCTATAGTACTCGTGAAGATCCAGGATAGAATTGATCTTCAGCAACCCATGCTTGTCGTAAAAGGCAACTAACGGGATCGGGTGATTAGGCTCGCTGACTTGGCTGGCACATGTCGTCATATCCCTATTGCGTAGATCAATGCTCATGCTGTTGATCATAGGATTGTCTGGTTCAGACTTGATTATTTACAGACCGCCACCATACAGCTGGAATATTGCTAAGTGCGGCATTAAACAACAAGATATCCAACCACATCAATAGTCACTGTCTAACAAAACAGTAATGTTGTTGGCTAAGACTGCCCAGTCACAACCATCTTCTCACTATAAGCTATCCTTCTGCACTGACCGTTGTTTCCTGTTGTTTGATGTTTGCTGTCTGTTCCAGTGCCAGCTTCAGCGACAAGTCGGGCATGGTGGGGGGAGGTGCATGAGGTCAAGGAGCTGCTGATGGTGGGGTTCGGACACAACAAGTCACGCCCATACCTCCTGGTGAGAAGCAAACTTGAAAAGCTTTGAGTCATGTCCATGAGAAAACTGCAGTTTCAGGCATTCTTTTTCAGAGAGATCGTCCTTGGGGTACATATTATGCATTTTCCGGCTGAAAAATGTCCTGTGACAGTTGTATCAATGTTTTTTGAATAAAAAAGATTGTTAAATAAATAAACTCTTTTATTTATTATACGGACCCTACCTCACGGAGTTACCTCCCTTAGCGCATGCGCACCAACTGGGTAGGCTCCTAGACCCGTATCATCATTCCTTCTGCTGTCACGGCCGTGAACAGACGTGTTTTGATAACCCATTCATGAGCCGTACGGCGCTGTTAAAAGAGACTATGTCTGAGACACCACCTGTATGTATGGTCTTTATTTGTCTAAAACAAGAACAGTAAAGCTTTACAGTTGGTTGTTTCATAATTGTGACTTTGTATTAATACAAAATACGCGAACTTTCCCGTGGTTACGCACGTGTTGCTCTGCCATGGCGGGAAGTTTAGCGTGCCATGTGGTCGTAATATTGCGTATTAAAACCAACTATTACTTTCCGTGGTAACCTTCACGTAGTTTTTCAATGTTTTCTACGTGTTTATCTGCTGCTGGCCGCCGTTAACTAACATGTTTGCGTGTTTGTTTCAGGCCTTTTCATGCTGTTCGGTCTGTGAGGGGAGTATCCCCCGGGCCGACAGTCATACCAGTTGCGTGGCCTGTCTGGAGAAGACAGGCCATGAGGCTGACTCCTGTCCTATTTGTCTGGCCTTTTCCCCCCGGGCCCAGAAGAGGCGGGCTGCCGACACCTTGTTCTATCGCGAAATGCGTGAGGCGGGAGGGGACCTGACGCAGGTTCCCCCGTCTAAGTCCAAACGTGTGTCAAAAAAGGGAAAAAATTCCCGTGGCCCTTCCCCCTCTCCTGCCACTTCGAGTGGTTTTGACATGTCACTGATGGAGTCTATGTTTCAGCAGCAGATGGACTCGATGAAGTCCTTCGTTAAGTGAGTCGGTTGGAGGTCTCCGGCAGGAGTTCCTCACCCACTCGGACGGGGCGGAGAGTCGGGGTGGGATCGCCGGGCTCGGCTCGATCCCTCGGCCTTGAGGCGTCTGTAGATCCGCTGCCTCTGCCCGGATCCGGGCGCCTCGGCTGCTCCGAGAGGGAGGTGCTCCCAGTCCCCTCTCGGGCTCGCCGAGGCCGTTGAGTATTCCTGGTATTCCGGTCCTAGCACACCCGCCCCATGAGAGCCGGAGGCACCAGTTCTGCCTGGCCTGCCTCCAGCGTCTCCGGGACCAGGGTCCACGCGCCGCCGGCTGGCTGGCGTGGAGCAGTCTGTCTGTTCTTCCCTTCCTGTGGTTCCTAGCGTTAGGCAGTCCACCGGGTCGGGGTTAGGGTCCTCTTACGGAGGAGACCCAGCCTCTGACTCGGGCTCGGACGCCGAGGCAATGGAGCTTGGGGAGGTCGAGGAGCCTGACGGCGGCTTCCGTTTTGCTTCGGCCTTGCGGGAGGTCCGGCAGAGAATTGCCGAGGGCCTACCCCAGGCCGCGGTGCCTGCTGGTTGCGTGGACTCGACTGAGTTCCGCTTGCCTGGCGAGGCGTTTGCCCCTAGGCAACCCTCACAGACGCAGCTCCGCATTCTGCCATCGTTGGTCTCGGACGTGGTCGATCCCCTCTTGTCTGGTGCCCGAGTAAGGTTTGACTTACCTGAACTCGCAGTCTTGGGCTACCAGCTTGGGGAGGATTCCCTGTTCGTTGTACCAATTGTTGACGAATGTGTTTTCACTTCCGTCCGCCCTGGGGAGGCTCGGCTTCCTCCGGAGCAGCTCCGGCTGCTCGGCAAGGGCTTCTAACTCCACCTTTGCCCTCGCGGGTATCCCTGCGGCACGCGCTGCACCGGACCTACGAGGAGGTCTACCGGAACGCGATGCAGCAGGTGCGGTGGTGGTCCATGAGGCCTACCTCACCTCGGTTCAGAGGTCGGCCCTGGAGGCGGAGGGGCATGCTGGCGACGTGTCGCCGCGATGTCGTGCTGCTCCGTCAGCTTTTCGGAAGTGCAGGCTCACCTCGGCGCGACTCTTTGCGGTCTGCTGCGCCGACGGTGATGTGCGCAGTCATGGGGATGCGCCGGCTGTGGCTGTCGACGTCTAGGTACTCGGCAGCAACACAGCAGACCTTGCTGGCCCTCCCTTTCCGTCTGGGAGCGACCCTCTTTCCAGGGGCCCAGCAGGTCATACGGGAGGCTGCCGCTGCAGCTACCTCCTTCAAGGACTCTAAGGCCTTGTTGGAGCACCCGCGGGTGTCTCGCCCCCGCACTCCCGTGCCACCTTCCTCCGCCGGGGTGCAGCCTACACCCGAGTCTGCCGGCTGGCTTCGGCCGCTTGGTAGGGGTAGGCGGAGGAACAGGTCCGCCAAGGGTAGGGGCAAGGAGCAGTCCTCGACTAGCTCCCAGCCTTTTCGCGGGCGCGGGAGGTCTGCCCCGACCTCCCGTTAACCCATCAGGCTGCCGCTCAAGGTTTTTCTTGGAGCTCGATTCCAAACGAACAAGGATCTCGTTTCCTTGTCGCCCGACCGGGTCACCAGAGTTCGGGAGATGGTCTCTTCATTCCTCTCCCAGCCCCAGGCACCAGCACGGACTTGGCTCCGTCTACTGGGCCATATGGCGGCGACGATCTCTGTAGTGTGGCGGGCGCGGTTGAGGATGCGTCCCATACAGCAAGCTTTGGCTCGGCTGTGGCCTCACACGGAAGATATGGAGCGCAGTCTCACAGTCCCCGAGTGGTTGACACCTCACCTTCAGTGGTGGACAAATGTCGGGAATCTCACCAGGGGGTTCCCCTTGGAAATCCCGACGCCAGCTCTCACAGTTCAGACAGATGCGTCCCTCACGGGCTGGGGGGGCGTTCTGGGCAGTCTGTCGGCTTCCGGACTCTGGTCCGAAGCCGCAGCTCACCTTCACATCAACGTGTTGGAACTGAGAGCTGTGCGGTTGGTATTCGAGCGCTTCAGAGAGCATGTCCGTGGCCAGGTAGTCCGTCTTCAGTTAGACAACCAGACGGCCATGTCGTGACATCCTGAAGCAGGGAGGCACGGTGTCCCCAGCGCCCTCCGGAAGCGTGGGACTTTCTCCTCTGGAGCGACCAGTACGATTGTCAGGTACTCCCTGTTTATCTCCCCGGGCTGGAGAACGTGCGAGCAGATGCGCCTCTCTCGCCGGATCCTGGCCCCGCGACGAAGTGGATGCTCGACAGGCAGATATTCACAGTAATCTCCCAGTTGTACGGGTCGCTCGAGGTGGATCTGTTTGCGTCCCGGCGGGACGCATCAGACACCCGTGTTCTGCTCTCGGATACCGGACCCAGGGCGTTGGCTGCCGACGCCTTCCTGCTGGATTGGACGGGCAAAGTGCTCTGGGCGTTCCCGCCATTACCACTCATTCCCCGTGTCCTTTCACAGCTGTCCACCCAGCCAGCTCGGCTACTTGTGCTACTGGCACCGCTTTGGCCGTCACAGAGCTGGTTTCCGGTAATTCTCAGGTTTCTGGCTCAGCCTCCTGTTCTATTACCTTTGCGACCGGACATTCTCACTCAGAACGGAGCGCCCACCCAAATCCACGGATTCAGTGGGTGGCTTGGCCTCTGTCAGGTCTAACCTCGAGGCACGCGAATTCCTGCAGCAGTTGCAGACACAATTCTGGCTTCGAGGCGGGATTCGACAAACGTTCAGTACGAGGATAGGTGGTCCCGCTATGCGCGCTGGTGTTCAGATAAGGGGATTGCAGATCCCTTTTCTGCGGATTTAGTCCGAGTATTGGAGTTTTTGCAAGCTCGTTTGGAAGAAGGCCTGGCGGCTTCGACCATTCGCGGCTACTCCACCGCTATTTCCACTTTTCACACCCCTGTCGATGGTGCTCTTCTGGGGCAGCACCCTCTCGTACAGCGCTTTCTCGCTGGCGCGGAACGGATTCGACCTGCTCTCAGGCGAACCAGTCCACCTTGGGATTTGTCGATCGTGCTCGATTGGCTGTCCGGTCCCACTTTCTCACACCTATCGGCTATTTCCATTCAGTTGTTGACCTGGAAAGCTGTTTTTCTGGTGGCGGTAACATCTGGTCGAAGGGTCGGCGATTTACATGCTATGTCGTCCGACCCGGCGCTGACTGTGTTTCACACGGATCGTGTCAGTATTCGCCTCCCAGATACTTACCGACCGAAGGTCGATCACGCTTTCCATGTGACAGCTCCTATCGAACTTCCTACTCTTACCCAGCCTTCCACATCGGGACCACTCCTACGAGCACTCACCCGTTGGATGTCCGTAAGACGCTCAAAGTCTATCTCAAACGAACGCAGGGGATCCGTACGGGTACCCAGCTGTTCTGTTGTTACGGTGGCGGGAAGGCTGGTCTGCCAGCGAGCAAGCAGACTTTGTCTCGCTGGCTAGTATCGTCATGTATTTGTGCCGCTTATCAGGCTAAGGGCAAGCCTCCCCTGAGGGGTTGAAGGCTCACTCGGTCAGGGCAGTAGCCGCATCAAAAGCTTTTGCATCGGCACTCCCCATTGAAGTGATCTGCTCCGCCCGCTATTTGGAGCCGCCAAGCACGTTTATACGCCATTATCAGCTCGATACGCATTCCCGTAATCGTGCAAACTTTGGCCGTACTGTTTCTCTCCAGTGGACAGTGTCCTGCCACCCTGACCGAGTGAGTCTTGGTTTATTGGTTTGTTTTGACGCTACTGTACAATAAGATTCCATTATTGACATGTCTGCTAATGTGAGCTCACTCAGAGAACCTGTACCCCTTCGATTCTCTACGGAGTTACTGTATCGTTAGTGAGTGGTATTTTGTTTTCCCCTCACGGTGCTCTCATGAAAGAAGCCACTTAGTGGGTCGGATTTCGTTGATATTCGCACTACGTGCAATGTCTCATTATGCTAGAGGTCGTCTTTGAGCACAAATCCTCCCTGTCAGTTCCCTCCCATAATGCCTCTCGCGAAGCGAAACTGGGTCGAGTGACAGGTGAGTGTTATGGCGTCTGTTCAATTTTTTTCCATGATACGATCGCTATATTTTGAGTGTGCTTGGACAGAATTCCTCCTCCCTGGCCTCCGGTCTTTGGGAGTCTGTGTTTATGCATAATATGTACCCCAAGGACGATCTCTCTGAAAAGAATTAACCAAACCTGCAGAGGTTTTCAATTCTTTGAAGAGAGTCGCCCTTGGGTAGGGCCTCCCACCTCCTCCGCAATTCTGTTCACTGATAAGAATTCAGCAGAAGGAATGATGATACGGGTCTAGGAGCCTACCCAGTTGGTGCGCATGCGCTAAGGGAGGTAACTCCGTGAGGTAGGGTCCGTATAATAAATAAAAGAGTTTATTTATTGTACAATCTTTTTATTCAAAAAACATTGATACAACTGTCACAGGACATTTTTCAGCCGGAAAATGCATAATATGTACCCCAAGGACGACTCTCTTCAAAGAATTGAAAACCTCTGCAGGTTTGGTTAAATTTTCATATCTAGCTAACCTGATGGTAAATCACTTATCATGTTCATCCAGTTATTGTGAGCCATCAGTCGACTTGTACAAGCAGCCACACACACGTGTTCTGTAATGTTAAATTGCGTCTCACTCCCAGGCTCGTGTGGAGGACTCGCTGCTGATCTACGAAGGCGTTCCCCTACCAGCAGGAGAACCTCTCCCGCACAGAGAACCACCTGAAGATCCGCTTCAAGCGCTACAACCACAACATCATGCTGAAGGAGCGGAGGCCGCCCAAGGGGAAGAAGAAAGATGACAAGGAAGAGGAGGAGAAGGTGGCCGTGTACTCCCAACAACATCTGCGCTACTTCGAGGATGTCTCCGGCTACTCGGGAGTAAGTAACCCCACTCCGATCTGGAGCTTCTTTGTAGATTAACATCTGAATAATTCTGGTTCATTTTACTTATGTGGGGAATCAAACCTGGGTTTTGGGGGGTGACGAGGTGTGTTTGGGGAATAACTTGTAAACACTCTGGGCTTCTTCTGTTGAGAATAATAATCATTATATCTATATATTTCCTCAATGCATGGTCAAAATAAGATGGCAGTCAACTTGCTGTGTCTAATAACAAGATCTGTAGTGGTCTGTAGGGTGAGCAGCTTGGGCCTGGAGCATGTCATCGAATAAACAATCCTTCCCTGCACGTTCTGAAATTCAGTGAAGTATATTAATGTCAGCTTACCTGTGACTACCAGGTCATGCTGTTGAATGTGCTTTGCCTGATTGTTGTTGATCAACACCTGGTACATGGTATGTGGGACTGCTTGCAGGTGTTTATCTGTGGTCCATACCCCTTCTGGCTGTTCATGACATCCAAGGGCTCGCTCAGGATCCATCCCATGAGCATCGACGGTTCCGTCACCAGTTTCACCTCCTTCCACAACATCAACTGCCCCAAAGGATTCCTGTACTTTAACAAACAGGTGAGTGGCGAACCAGCCAGGTGTGTGAACATGCAGATGTATGAACTCACAGATGTGGTAACTGACACACTCTTGTTTCATCAGGCAGCAGAGCATGATGCAGAGAGAAAGAAGAAAGTTAATTTTAGACATAAGGTTACCACATATCCCGTATCATATTGCAGTGCCAGGAGAACCAGGCTAGAATGTTTACCATGAAAAAATAATCCCAGTAATATGTTGTGTTCCAGTCAGAACTGCGGATCTGTGTCCTGCCAACCCACGTGACATATGACGCGCCATGGCCGATACGTAAAGTACCACTCCGCTGTACACCAATACACCTGACCTACCACTCCGACAGCAAGGTGGGCACACGAAGGGATAGAATGCTCTCTTGATTCTGGACACTGACTGGCCTTGTAGTTGATTAGCTCACAGTGAAAATATTTGTAATGGATCGGACAGAGATTAATGTAATGGATTGGACAAAAAATTAAGAAATTATATCATTATTTGGTTGACATTTATGCTAATTTGTAGGTGATACCTAGAATCTGATTGGCTAACAGTTATGTTACTGTGTAATGTGGTAACATGTAGTTGATAGTCTGGCAGATATGAGTCTGGGTACTTTATAGATGATTGGCTGTTGTGTTTGTTCAGATGTATGCTGTTGTCACCAAGACCACGGAGTTATGTAACCTGTTGCCTCGGACCACATCAGACGAGAGGGAATGGGACACAGTGGAGAAAGGTACTTCTGTCTGGATGTAAACTAAGTTAGCTGAGTCCAGGTCTGACTCTTATACCCAGCAGCCTCTCACAGTCGGGAGGGTTTACATGTATCTAGCTGGCACTTACCCTTGGATCCATTCTCATGGTCACGATCACCGATTATCTGTCTTTGTGCTTCAGATGATCGCTACATCTACCCGACGATGGACAGGTATACTCTGCAGCTGTTTACCCCCAGCTCGTGGGAGCTCATACCCAGGGCCAGGTGCGTAGTTCATGATGTAGCTGATGATGTGTGTAGATGCTGGTGCTGCTGGTGCTTGTGCTTGTGCTGGTGGTGGTGCTGATGCTGCTGATGATGATGTAGTGGATGGTGTGGTTGATGGTTGGTTGATGTATCCTTCATTGACTATGGATATGTAAAGGGTCATTTGTTCTCTTTGGCTGACCAGTGCAAAACCAATAAGGGCGGAGATATGTAAGTGCTGCCTGGATTTCTTTGATGTGGATAACTTGTTTGAGGATATTTTTTGATAACTTTTATGGATCACTGTATCACAATATTGAAGAAAAACAAGCCATATGAGCAGCCCACTGTTGTTCCATGTTGCAGCTACGAGACGGAGGAATGGGAGGACGTCACAGTGCTGAAGAATGTTATGTTGAAGTCCGAGGGGACGCTGTCCGGTATCAAGGGCTACATCGCCATGGGAACCAACTACAGTCTCGGGGAGGAGGTGGTGTCAAGGGGAAGGGTAGGTCAAACTTGTGAAGATTGTAGGGCAGGAAATGACTAGCTTACTGATCATATTCCAGCATCACTTGGTGGCTGAAACATTCTATCACTCGAACACTGATTCACCTGCTGTTATCGAGGGTAGAAGGACAAATCTTACTATGAACAAAGTAAGATGAAATCATTCATTATCATCATGTTATACTCAACTGGTTGATACACTTTCTGTCAGTTACGTTCTCCTTCTTCGCCTTGCAGCTGATTATATTTGAAGTGATAGAAGTTGTTCCTGAGCCAGGTCAGCCTCTCACGAAGACCAGGATCAAGGTCAGTGCTGGACACTCCACCAGGCTGTTGCAGCAGATGTTGTGGGTCCATTTACAGCATATGTTGTGTGCTGCAGTTCATATACTGCATATAACATCAGTTCTAACATCAGTAATTCCTCGGAGTGTAACAATTTGCAGAACTTTGGAACTGGTCAGCGTTAAAAATATCTGATCTCATATTTTCTGCCGTCTGGTTAATGAAATGTTTCAAATTTTGAAAAATATGTGTATTGTCATTTGAGCAAATACAGTATCTCACCCAAGTATCTTTTCATGTAGAATATATTAAACAAAACAGGTTAGGCATCTTAAATATATGGAGGCTATTTTTTATGGTGAAATCTGAGCACATAATGTCTAAGAAGTCATCAACACATTGTGCTCCTTAATATACTTGTTCAGTATACATCATAACATGTTGACAAAAGTTTCAAACTGCTGTTCAAACCAACTCACTCACTTCGGCTTGTATACCTCCTTATGTACAGGTGTACTGGCAGTGTAATGTGTGATGTATTTCTGTGTTGCCAGATCATCTATGAACGAGAACAGAAGGGGCCGGTCACCTGCTTGTCTCATGTCAATGGCTTCCTGTTGTCTGCTATAGGACAGAAGGTACAGTCACCTGAAGCACTAATCTCAGTACAGATGTACTTACACTATATCCTGTGGTTGAATAAGATGAACTGTTGAAACAGTAGGTCAGCCTTGGTTGTTTGGTTGATTGAATGTTGTTGCAGCCTGTTTGCTCATAATATCGATCACTAGATTATGTAGTTCATACTCGTGGATGTTCAGTCTGGCAATGTTTGCTTTCAGTTGTACATGTGGACGCTGAAGGACAACGACCTGATCGGCGTGGCCTTCATCGACACTCACATCTACATCCACTCCCTCTGTGTCATGAAGAATCTCATCCTTGCGGGGGACCTGTTGAAGAGCATCTCACTGTACCGCTTCCAGGAGGATCTCAAAGTGCTGTCTATTGTCAGCAGGGTAAGGTTCCAACTTCTGACCTCCTGAAGAGCATCTCACTTCTCACTTCTATATGCCCTTCAAAGATTTGATATTTGGGATAGGTTGGATAAATACCTCTAGAACACAAGTGTGCCTGTTTCTATGATTGTAGAGAACCTATTCTTATACAAAACATGAACCTTGTGTTGTTGTTGCCAGGACATCAAGCCCCTGGAGGTGTACGCTATAGACTTCATGGTGGACAACAACCAGGTCTGCTTTGCCGGTGAGTATGTCAGAGGTAGCTGTTACAACTGGAGAGTATGTCGTAGGTAGCTGTTACAACTGGAGATTATGTCGTAGGTAGCTGTTACAACTGGAGATTATGTCGTAGGTAGCTGTTACAACTGGAGAGTATGTCGTAGGTAGCTGTTACAACTGGAGAGTATGTCGGAGGTAGCTGTTACAACTGGAGAGTATGTCGTAGGTAGCTGTTACAATTGGAGGGTATGTCGGAGGTAGCTGTTACAACTGGAGAGTATGTCGGGTAGCTGTTACAACTGGAGAGTATGTCGGAGGTAGCTGTTACAACTGGAGAGTATGTCGGAGGTAGCTGTTACAACTGGAGAGTATGTCGTAGGTAGCTGTTACAACTGGAGAGTATGTCGTAGGTAGCTGTTACAATTGGAGGGTATGTCGGAGGTAGCTGTTACAACTGGAGAGTATGTCGGAGGTAGCTGTTACAACTGGAGAGTATGTCGTAGGTAGCTGTTACAATTGGAGGGTATGTCGGAGGTAGCTGTTACAACTGGAGAGTATGTCGGAGGTAGCTGTTACAACTGGAGAGTATGTCGTAGGTAGCTGTTACAACTGGAGAGTATGTCGGAGGTAGCTGTTACAACTGGAGAGTATGTCGTAGGTAGCTGTTACAACTGGAGAGTATGTCGGAGGTAGCTGTTACAACTGGAGATTATGTCGGAGGTAGCTATTACAACTGGAGAGTATGTCGTAGGTAGCTGTTACAACTGGAGAGTATGTCGGAGGTAGCTGTTACAACTGGAGAGTATGTCGTAGGTAGCTGTTACAACTGGAGAGTATGTCGGATGTAGCTGTTACAACTGGAGAGTATGTCGTAGTTAGCTGTTACAACTGGAGAGTATGTCGTAGGTAGCTGTTACAACTGGAGAGTATGTCGGGGGTAGCTGTTACAACTGGAGAGTATATCGTAGGTAGCTGTTACAACTGGAGAGTATGTCGTAGTTAGCTGTTACAACTGGAGAGTATGTCGGAGGTAGCTGTTACAACTGGAGAGTATGTCGGAGGTAGCTGTTACAACTGGAGGGTATGTCGGAGGTAGCTGTTTCAACTGGAGAGTATGTCGGAGGTAGCTGTTACAACTGGAGAGTATGTCGGAGGTAGCTGTTACAACTGGAGAGTATGTCGTAGGTAGCTGTTACAACTGGAGAGTATGTCGGAGGTAGCTGTTACAACTGGAGAGTATGTCGGGGTAGCTGTTACAACTGGAGAGTATGTCGTAGGTAGCTGTTACAACTGGAGAGTATGTCGGAGGTAGCTGTTACAACAGGAGAGTATGTCGTAGGTAGCTGTTACAACTGGAGAGTATGTCGGAGGTAGCTGTTACAACTGGAGAGTATGTCGGGGGTAGCTGTTACAACTGGAGAGTATGTCGTAGGTAGCTGTTACAATTGGAGGGGATGTCGTAGGTAGCTGTTACAACTGGAGAGTATGTCGTAGGTAGCTGTTACAACTGGAGAGTATGTCGGAGAGGCTGTTACAACTGGAGAGTATGTCGGAGGTAACTGTTACAACTGGAGAGTATGTCGTAGGTAGCTGTTACAACTGGAGAGTATGTCGTAGGTAGCTGTTACAACTGGAGAGTATGTCGGATGTAGCTGTTAGAACTGGAGAGTATGTCCTAGGTAGCTGTTACAACTGGAGAGTATGTCAGAGGTAGCTGTTACAACTGGAGAGTATGTCGGGGGTAGCTGTTAGATCTTGAGAGTATGTCGGATGTAGCTGTTACAACTGGAGAGTATGTCGTAGGTAGCTGTTACAACTGGAGAGTATGTCGGAGGTAGCTGTTAGAACTGGAGAGTATGTCGTAGGTAGCTGTTACAACTGGAGGGTATGTCGGAGGTAGCTGTTACAACTGGAGAGTATGTCGGGGGTAGCTGTTAGATCTTGAGAGTATGTCGGATGTAGCTGTTACAACTGGAGAGTATGTCGTAGGTAGCTGTTACAACTGGAGAGTATGTCGGAGGTAGCTGTTAGAACTGGAGAGTATGTCGTAGGTAGCTGTTACAACTGGAGGGTATGTCGGAGGTAGCTGTTACAACTGGAGAGTATGTCGGGGGTAGCTGTTAGATCTTGAGAGTATGTCGGATGTAGCTGTTACAACTGGAGAGTATGTCGTAGGTAGCTGTTACAACTGGAGAGTATGTCAGAGGTAGCTGTTACAACTGGAGAGTATGTCGGGGGTAGCTGTTACAACTGGAGGGTATGTCGGAGGTAGCTGTTACAACTGGAGAGTATGTCGGAGGTAGCTGTTAGAACTGGAGAGTATGTCAGAGGTAGCTGTTACAACTGGAGAGTATGTCGGAGGTAGCTGTTAGATCTGGAGAGTATGTCGGAGGTAGCTGTTACAACTGGAGAGTATGTCGGAGGTAGCTGTTACAACTGGAGAGTATGTCGTGAGGTAGCTGTTACAACTGGAGAGTATGTCGGAGGTAGCTGTTACAACTGGAGAGTATGTCGGAGGTAGCTGTTACAACTGGAGAGTATGTCGGAGGTAGCTGTTACAACTGGAGAGTATGTCGGGGGTAGCTGTTACAACTGGAGAGTATGTCGTAGGTAGCTGTTACAACTGGAGAGTATGTCGTAGGTAGCTGTTACAACTGGAGAGTATGTCGGATGTGGCTGTTACAACTGGAGAGTATGTAGGAGGTAGCTATTACAACTGGAGAGTATGTCGAAGGTAGCTATTACAACTGGAGAGTATGTCGGATGTGGCTGTTACAACTGGAGAGTATTTCGGAGTTAGCTGTTACAACTGATGAGTTGGCAAGCCTAAACTGTTTTGTTGGTGGTTTAAAGGCGAGATGTTCCCATGTGGCTAGTTCCTGCCATTGGATGCTGGTGAGTGGTTCCTCATGTTATATTTCTTGTGAGATGAGATAGTGTCTCGGAGCAGAAAGTCACATGGCCTACATTGCCTACTTCGTCAAATACTGTTTTTTATTATACCAATACACCAATATACCTTACACACCCACTGTTTACAAAACCAGCTGTAAGTGTCATGGTTGCTGACGGCTGGTGTTTTTTGTTTCAGTGTCCGACAGATTCAAGAATATCATTGTGTATTCGTATCAACCAGAAGGTAAGTGTTGCCTGTGACAGAAGCACTGACTATGAGTGAGATGGTTCCAGTTCTTAGCAGCCACTGTGGATCTACTCCAGTGTTTTATTCACCTCACATGTCTGATACGTTTCTTTGGGTATTCAGTATCTAACGCCCTGGCTGTGGGATGTTGTAAGCCAATGAACAGACCTTTGTTTGATATACTGTTTCGAGTGACTTGTATACTACATCTGTCGTGATATTAGCTCACAACATGCATGTCAAAGTTACAACAAAAGAGACATAGTGTAAGCATAGTTCACTGCATGTCTACACCATGCTGGCATTAAGTCTGTCAATAAACATATGGGTACTCAAGTACATCACACAAAGTGTCAAGTTTTTATCCCACCGGCATGTAATGCGGTGGGATATAGTCGTCGCCTCGTCCGTCTGTCCATCCGTCCGTCCGCCCGCCCGTCCGTCCATCCGTCCGTAATCATTTTGTTGCCGGAGCATAACTCAAAGACTGTTCGATATTTTTCAACCAAAATTGGTAGATATGTCAAACATAACCTAAGATGGTGCCTTTTGCTATTTACAGATCATTGTCATTTTTATTTTTCTCGGTTTCCATGGAAACGTTTTTGACTTAGTCTTAAAGAGGAAGGGATGGGTTTCGTTTCCGGAACACAACTGGAAAACTTCTTAATATCTTTCAGCAGAACTTGGCAGATATGTGAGGCAGATGCCAAAGTGGTGCCTTTTGCTATTTGCAGATATTTGTGATTTATTATTTTCTCAGTTTCCATGGAAACAATTTGGACTTAGTCTCAAAGAGGGAGGGTTAGGTTTTGTTTCCGGAGCACAACTGGAAAAGTTCTTAATATCTTTCAGCAAAACTTGGCAGATATGTGAGGCAGATCCTAAAGTGGTGCCTTTTGCTATTTGCATATTTTTGTCATTTATTTTTTTCATGATTTCCATGGAAACGATTTGCACTTAGTCTAAAATCAAGTAACTGTCAGATGATTTGTTCTTTCAAAGATGTTGGGGCCGGGGGGATATGTCATCTTCTGATGACTCTTGTTTAAAATGGTCATGATACTTCATGTGCAAGCAACTCAGACTTGTTTGGTTCATTGTGATCTATTTTATGCAAATTCCCATCAAGATCACAATTCTAGGTGTCCAAATGAGAAGAAAGCTACAACCAGTGATTCTACGTAAGCCGTGTAGTGTCGGTGTGTAATGGTCTTGTGTTCCTGTTCCAGCAAGGGAGAGTCATGGTGGTCAGCGGCTGCTGCGGCGAGCAGACTTCAACGTCGGGTCTCACATCAGCAGCATGTTCCGAGTCCGGTGTCGCCTCACCGACATCGCCAGCGACAAGAAGCTGATGTCGTTGTATGATAAACGGCATATTACTTACTGTGGTGAGGATGACAGTGTTTAGAATATGACAGATGTTTAACTATTTTACAGAGGTGTCTCTGAAAATGCATGTGACTGCAAGCTGATTAGGATTGGGGAAAAAATCAGTCACACATTCAACAGGCTTCTCATTGGAAATACTAAGATTCAGTTCTCCAGATGGGTAGTGTCACCCATTCTTTGTCGTATCTCTTGTTATACTAAGATTCAGTTCTCCAGATGGGTAGTGTCACCCATTCTTTGTCGTATCTCTTGTTATACTAAGATTCAGTTCTCCAGATGGGTAGTGTCACCCATTCTGTGTCGTATCTCTTGTTATACTAAGATTCAGTTCTCCAGATGGGTAGTGTCACCCATTCTTCGTCGTATCTCTTGTTATACTAAGATTCAGTTCTCCAGATGGGTAGTGTCACCCATTCTTTGTCGTATCTCTTGTTATACTAAGATTCAGTTCTCCAGATGGGTAGTGTCACCCATTCTGTGTCGTATCTCTTGTTATACTAAGATTCAGTTCTCCAGATGGGTAGTGTCACCCATTCTTCGATGCATTATCTCTTGTTATACTAAGATTCAGTTCTCCAGATGGGTAGTGTCACCCATTCTTCGTCTTATCTCTTGTTATACTAAGATTCAGTTCTCCAGATGGGTAGTGTCACCCATTCTTTGTGGTATCTCTTGTTATACTAAGATTCAGTTCTCCAGATGGGTAGTGTCACCCATTCTTTGTCGTATCTCTTGTTATATCTCTCTCTGTCAGAGCTTGTTTGATTTTTATTTGAATCCTGCAGTGAGTCGATATTTGACTTGTATCCTGCAGCCAGCCTTGATGGAAGTCTGGGCTATCTGATGCCGATCTCGGAGAAGGTGTACCGCCGACTGCTCATGTTACAGAACGCCATGACAACACACGTGCCACACACGGCGGGATTAAACCCTAAAGCTTACAGGTGAATAATCCTTGTTGTGACTGGTCAATCAGAGATGTCATGTCACATTTACTACACCTGATTGAAACAGCTGATATGTGTAAATGATACTGTTCAGCTCTAAATTAAGTTTTGCACTGCTAATTCTAAAGGTAATCACAGGTTTGCTGTCACAGGTTTTGTATTGTCTGTGTTGACCAGCTGCAGTGTTTATAAACACTACATTTTTTCATTGTGTTGTTGTATAACAGCCTCATGCAAGGAGACACATACTGAAACTGGATCCGTGCTTTGTGTAACAGATGAACACAATGGCTGCCCAGGGTTGAATCCCACCCGGTCAGTACTGGTTTGCCTGCCCAAGGTAGAAAGATCTACAGATGGTTGCTGCAGAAATTAGAGACATTCTTGACCATTTACTTTCTCCTGGTACTACGTTTGTGTTTGTTGACAGGGCAATATTGTTGTCAATCCCTGAGCTGGCCAACCCCAACAAGAACATCCTTGATGGTGAGCTGCTGTGGAAATACCTACATCTCAGCATCCTAGAGAAAAATGAGATCTCCAAGAGGATTGGAACGTCTACTGACCAGGTGAGGTATAAGAATGTCTACTGACCAGGTGAGCTATAGGAATGTGTACCTACCAGGTGAGATATAGGAATGTCTATGGACCAGGCGATCTATACTGATGTCAACTGACCAGGTGAGCTATAGGAATGTCTACTGACCAGGTGAGCTATAGGAATGTCCACTGACCAGGTGAGCTATAGGAATGTCTACTGGCCAGGTGAGCTAAAGGAATGTCTACCGACCAGGTGAGCTATGAGAATGTCCACTTACCAGGTGAGCTTCAGGAATGTCTACTGATCAGGTGAGCTATGGGAATGTCCACTGACAAGGAGAGGTATAGGAATGTCTACTGACCAGGTGAGCTACAGGAATGTCTACTGACCAGGTGAGGTATAGAGATTTCTTCTGACCAGGTGAGCTATGGGAATGTCCACTGACCAGGTGAGGTATAGGGATGTTTGCTGACCAGGTGAGCTATTGGAATGTCCACTGACCAGGTGAGGTATAGGAATGTTGACTGATCAGGTGAGCTTCAGGAATGTCTACTGACCAGGTGAGCTATGGGAATGTCCACTGACAAGGAAAGGTATAGGAGTGTCTACTGACCAGGTGAGCTACAGGAATGTCTACTGACCAGGTGAGGTATAGAGATTTCTTCTGACAAGTTGAGCTATGGGAATGTCCACTGACCAGGTGAGGTATAGGGATGTTTGCTGACCAGGTGAGCTATTGGAATGTCCACTGATCAGGTGAGGTATAGGGATGTTTGCTGAACAGGTGAGCTATGGGAATGTCCACTGACCAGGTGAGGTATAGGAATGTTTACTGACCAGGTGAGTTGTAGGAAACCTACAGAAATGTTTGGTGTAAAGGGTGATAGTAAATGGAGACATAATTACAAAAGATTTTATAAGTAAGTGGGCATTCTTTGAATATATATTTTGTTCTGGAAACTGACATATAAATTAATCTTGTCCAGTGATAAATGCATATAATCACAATATGCAATATTGTTAATTAGATCTGTTACAAATGGGGCTTCTTAAAATATGCAAGAAATGAATGGAACTAAGATTACGTTAAGATCCTGTCTACCACCTTTGACTTAAAAGCCATTAAAGCACAAGAATTTGTTTTTCAGTTATTTTCTGTGCGAAGTGCACGTTTTGGAGTAATTTAAGTTTGTCCCCCCCACTGTGGCAACACATTTATGTAGCATTCTGGCTTCCAGTTCTTGTAAGTGTCATATTGGATAACAAAGACATCAATATTCATGATTGACACACCAAATCCCATCACACACTCCTAATTCAATATTCACCCTTTCAGATAATGGATGACTTAATGGAAATAGACCGAGCAACGGCCCATTTTTAGTTCTATGCCAACGCACAACTGACAGTGTTTGTCTTGGGCCTACTTGACAGGAGTTATCTCCCCTGAGACATCTCTACGTAAAGAGTGTTAATACCACAAGTCCAGTGTTGTATGCAAGCTCTGGTACTCGACCTCAAACCTATGAAGTGAATTCATCTAAGAGAATAATTGAACAGAACTCCAGATCCGATGGACAGTGGCACAGATATGTGTCATATTTGTGTATATCTTGAGACGAGAGGTATGGATAATGGATTAATCGAACTGAACAGCTGTTGCAGGGAGCGAGGGTGAGGTGGTTCTATCCGGGAGAGACCAGTGCTGGGGTGAAGACCCTCCACATATATTGTGCAACATGGATGGTGCTGATATCTCACCAGTTTAAACTGAATGACTTCCAATCAAATTGTGTATAAGTCATTCAGCAGTTACATTTTTGTTTTCATTGTGTAAATAATCATGTGTTTTGATGTCTCTCATTGTACATACATGGTGTATGTAAATACTGAATAAAACACACAAGATCTCCTACTGTCAGGTCTTTGTAGAGATAGACCCATTACTATAAGTTGTAGGTTTGCTTGATTGTCGTTTCACACTACTCCAGCTGAATGATGTTTTGTTGGTTTGTTTGCTGTTTAAGGCCACACTCAGCAATATTCCAGCAATATGGCGGCAGTTTGTAAATAATCAAATCTAGACCAGACAATCCAGTGATTAGCAGCATCAGCATCGATCTGCCAAATAGGATACGATGACATGCATCAACCAAGTCAGCCTAACCACCAGATCCAGATGGTCGCCTCTTATGACAAGCATGGGATACTGAACAAAGCTGAATGAAAGCAGCTAGAGTTTCAGTAAGAGGAACTTGTTATTGAAAAGAGAAACGTCGGAGTATGGTGACACAGTAAACCACCGGAGTTGTTCAGCTTGCATTTTTCTGGGAATCTTTCAAATCCCAAACAGTTATGCATGAGAGGAATTGCGGGAGATTTGTGGACAGCCTTATTAATCTCCACAAAGCTATGGTGAGAATCATAAAGGGGGGCGGTAAAATGTTGGTAACAGAATCTGGCTGTGTGACTCCCACATGTGATTGGGTTTCACACCCAGTGAAGTCGCTGTGCTGGTTTGTAGGACTTCGTAGTACCTGATGTAACTGTCAGTGGCGAGGAGTGCTCTTCACTATACCACCTTCCCTCTTGAAACATACCAGTCATTTGAATGTCCGTTTTGAAATATACTAGTCATATGAACTCTTTGATTGGCATTCTAGAAGTTGGATAGATGAAGAATGAGGACTATTTTTATGGATATACAACTTTTTTATTTTGTATAGTTGACATTTCATGTACCACTTGCTTGACAACGACATTAGAATCTATGTCGAAACGTCACATATACAGAATAAAGAAGTTGTATATCCATAAAAATAGTCCTCATTCTTCAGTCATTTTAATGACCGTGTTGAAATATACAAGTCATTTGTATATAAAGAACAAGTTTCGGGTCACAGGGTCCTCTTATTCATGGCTTTAAAAAGCAGAATTGCTAAGACGATCAACCTTGATTTGTCAATCCATATCCTGGTTAACGTAACTTCTGTTTGTACTGGACCAGTGTGTGACGCAGGCTCTTTAAAATTATATCTATAATCTTGCATCTAATTGTGGAGATGTATCGTGCGTGACATAAATATGTAATCTGAGCATTGATGGATGTCATGCCTGGACTTTTCAACATCTTACCAACGAGGGAGCCTGCGGTTACGTCCCTTACAAGACATGATATCACCAGAACACCAACATACAGCTAGGGTTAGACGACACAACTCAACCAGCACCCGCCCAACATTGGTGGGTACTAGGGTGATGCTTGGTATGCTTGGTCCTGTTTCCCGCCCACATCATCACTACATGGACACGTCAGAGAGGAGATGGGGCTCTTACGTGGACGACGTCACTACGATAGGGCCAATGCAGGACAGATCTTCCCAACTCTCGCAGCATGCCAGATACGGCTACAGTGTCAGTCGCGACACAGTGCTAGCGTGCTTGCGTATATGTCTCGCGGGGACTAGATGCCACAGAGTTGTTTAGGAGATTAAACGTATATTTACCTCTGCAGGATGGAAGCATGTTATGGGTAATATATCCGCGAATGGCCTTTCTATTTCAACATATTCAAGTGGACAACGTCAGTCTGGGATACCCCGCATCTCGACCTATTCAGGCTATCTGTATACATCAGTATCAGACCAGCTAATATCCTGCGAGGCCCTACCTAGGTGAGGTGAAATTGGGTTTAACGTCGTTTTTCTATTTGACGAACATATTCAAGTGGACAAGCTGGTTTTATAGCTAGCCCACTGGGATACCATGCCGCATGAAGCTCGAATACCTATTCACATTATACTGACTCCGAGCCGACATCAGTAATGCAGAGCGCCAGACAGGGACCAATAAGTACCTCTTTTACCGTCTTTTGGTAGACGTTGGGGAGTACCTACCTAGGACCTAGTTTGGTATCAAATGTGTACTTCTGTATGTGTGCAGCGTAGCCAGACCAGTTAGATGTTCTATGCTCATTGTCCACACCTTGTGCCTCGAAGAGAGGAGATCGAAAGACCTTTCACAAGCCACACTGCCAACTGGAATGGTCATGAACACTGTCAGATCAAGTTACCACATGATCTTTGGGATGAGGCAATGGTTCATTATATAACATATGTTCGTTGGGTTCATAGTTCCAAAAATATAGTCGATAGTTTATATAATACTAAGGTTCCCTTCAGGGTAGTCTATATCATTGTCCTGGATTCCTTATTGTATTTATTAATGGTTGTTGTAATCATATGTAATTAGGTGTATCATTCTGGTACCGATCATCTGTCAGAATGGTTGCCCGCAATCTTTGCGTCTTTAATTGAGGTGTGGATTTCAGGGCTGCGGTGAGGGTATATCACTCATTCTCAATAATGGGGTGCACATGCTGTCGCCGCCATGCTTCTCTTAAACTAAAATAGCAATGTTATTTTCAGTGTGGTTGAATAATGGTACCAACCTGCCAATCATACATCATACACAAACAGTCCAATAACCCCCCAAGTATATTTGTTACAGCTAAGGTAATATGTCAGTTTGAAATATTTGTTACTGTCGCCGGTAGCGAAACCTTACCTTGCAGTTTACTTAACGCACCTCGGTATACAAATACCTGGATATTAGTACATTAGGACATTGATATTGGTTAAAAGTTTCATTTTCTGCAAATTGTTAGGCCAATGCATTCTTTTTAGATAAATGAATGTGTTCTAATGCCATGTTGCCAGTTTTGAGGAAATGTCCGTGAGTAATTTTCAGCTTGACATGTACCTGTGTAGAACAAAGCACAATCTCACCCATTCACTTTGAATGAATACAATTTATGTTTACATTAATGGTACTTGTCATTATTTGTGGCTTAGAATATCTCTCTGCATAACATATCTCAATACACAGAAAATATTCCATGCGTAGAAATAAGAGTGAAATGTCCGTTACCATCGCCAAATTATCGAATTGTGCTCTTTTTGATATAGTTTAAGTTACATTTAGAACATGCCGTATGCCAGATGGGAAAAGGAAAAATATCCAAAGCTTGTGTGTGGTTAATGGTAACTTAATGCTTGATTTGCAAGAGTCTGTAAAACTCGGGATTATCCTGAGAGGCTACTGTGTCCTACTGTGAGTTCTGAGATACGACATAAAAAGACTTCAGACTATAGAAAGCATAGAAAACAGACATGATGTCACGAACGTCTTTGCCAGACAAGACAATGCCAAGGCTGCTGTGATTGGATGGATCAGTGCCTAACGTCTTATATCATTGATCTAGAGATCGGATGTAACAACGTACAAACCACCGGAAGTGACAACACAGATGTCATTGATACAGGAAATTGGGTCAAATTAATGCGTAAATATCACCCACAGGAAACAGAAGTGACAATCAGTGGAAAATATCATATTTATACGAAGAGAATATAATGCCATGTATTTCCTTTTGCCACCATATATATCATTTTTCTTCACCGCTATCAATTGTCAATTGGGAATTCGAGATGCCAGATTAAGCTGGCTCTTATGGTGAATACAGACTATAGTGTCATAGAAGTGGGGTATTCAAATGGATTATCAAACATTGACAAACAATACTTATCACTGTGTCTACTTCCAACAACACTTTCCATATCACATCAGGAAAATATTGCATCTACCTCCCCCAATCCATCTGATTGACAAAAGTGACGCTTTACCACCTGGCGCAGGTACCGATGGATAGGGTTTACTTTCAAGCTACTAATAACTAGTGTTTGATTTCTAATGTTGCTGACTGTATTAAGTACATTTGAATGAAGATAACAACAATATGGTAATGCTGGGATATTGCTGAAATCCCGAGAATGGCACACAACCCATCACACGTATGTGGTTTCTGTTCAAATGGGGCTCCCTGGTAACAACAAATACAATATTTTGGTGTGACGCGACCGGGCAGCTAACCATCTAGCTTCCGCAGACTGACTGACTGAGATTAGTTTTACGCCGCTTTTAGCAATATTCCAGCAATATCACGGCGGGGGACACCAGAAATGGGCTTAACACATTGTGCCCATGTGGGGAATCGAACCCGGGCCTTCGGCGTGACGAGCCAACGCTTTAACCACTAGGCTACCCCACCGCCCCACTTCCGCAGACGCAGACGCCCTATACACTAGGTACTGGAGAAGGTCTGCAGTGACCACATGGGCTTGTAACGCTAAAAACTGCCATCAAGGTATATACTGTCACTGACTGGGTCTTAGTACTAGTAAGGGTCTTAGTACTAGTAAGGATCTTTTATATAGTACTAAGACCCCGTCAGTGACAGTATATACCTTGATGGCAGTTTTTAGCGTTACAAGCCCCTGTGGCAGTGACTACACTGACTACTGGTAGTGTGAAGATTGTCCAAACTGAGGTTCAGATGACCACGGTGTCTGGACTAGGTCCACACTGTTTGTCATACGAACAGCAAGACAGAAGGGTTTTAGAAGTATGACGACTAAATTTGTGTGATAGATGTTATATTTGGGATTACACTTTCTCGGTAAATCTGTCACCGCGTTCTTATTGTGGGAGTGTTTGTTCATGATGTTCACCACTGGTTTGTCTTTGATGTCAGCAAGCCGATTTGAAATAGCTGCAGAGTAAAACTCGTTTACTCATTCACTCACTCAACCACTCGCCCACTCACCATTGTTATCACCGTGTTCCGCTTACTAAGCCTGAAACTGTCACTCTGCATTTGCACCGGTCAACTGGTCACAACTCCCATATTTCTTACTTCGACCTCAAACGGTTTTATTGCCTCTTTACCAACAATGCACTTCGTCATGACAGCTTTTGTCTGTCAAGAAAAGTACACCCGTCCCTACTTTAGTCCTGAAGGAGCATCGATCCAGCATCCCATCCTCGCGACACCAATGTCACCGGAGAAGGATA